TTAGGTGAAAAAGCGGTTAAATATCGGTGAACGATTCGGAAAAAAGCCACCCGGAAAAAAGACCCCCAGAATTGACAAAAGCGGAAAAAAGCCACCCGAGATGAAAATGCGAAAAAGCCACCCAGGTCATTGCTTAATAATTTCTTATTTATATATCTTTATACGTATCAGATAAAGACATTCACTTGCCGACCTTAAGACACATTCATGCAGTTATGTGACTGTTATCTATGTTTTTAATATTCAATAAATTGACACCAATTTTTCAATTAATATATTATTGATTTTTCGTTTCCATTCATTGAGAATGGAAAAGGCAAAAACATCTATCGATTGAAAGCACTTCTTTAAATCGATTCTACAAAAATATTCTTTTCCTACATTCATAATGTAGAGAAGGACTGTCCCGTTATGAACATGGACTTCAACAGACTTATGGACTGCTGATGGAAATGGGAGTGGGGGCAATGGGCGGTTCAGGTGGTGGATTGAGGAGGGGAGCTAATCCTGATCCTCTCCACCCTCCGGAAAAAGGAGTGAAAGTGGATATGAGGGAGATAAAATAAAAATAAAAACCTTACATGGCCCCAGAGCAATTGTTGTTTGAGAAAAAATTCCAAGTGCAGAGAGAGTGCAATCATCTCATCCTGCGACACGAGCAAAATCATAAGATTTCCAGCCATAATATTCACTTTTAAGGAATGGGCTGAAGTTGGACTTTGTTTTATGTTTAATAACATTTCAGTGAAGTTGATCAAATTACATGACATCAGTATCACTAAATGTCGCAAAAATGAATGAGTCTTTAATCTGACCTGAACATAAATGGATGGCACTTTTCTGCCTTTGCTTAATCTGGGGGTCTTATTTCCGGGTGGCTTTTTTCCTAAAACCAAATAAATACAGGTATCGTTCTGTATGGGATCCCTATCTACAACTGACGGAAACATGTGCTGGGCCATCAAGCGAAGGAGTGAGCCACGAAGCGGAAATGAAGACAGCTCATGAAATAAGCCACTCTTGCAAATGTGGTCCTTCCTAATGTAATCCTTACCTGTACACAAGCTGGGCTCTTTCAATAACTGGCCGAGAAGTAATCTTGAAACTCGCGTGCGAGAAGGTCCGTACGTACAGCCATATAGGTGAGCGCAGGAGAATCTCAGGATAGTGCTTCTAGGGCTCGCAACAATATACTGTATACAGGGTACCCCACTGCGACATTTTAATGCCATCGCAGGCTTGCTCATCCTTGAGGGCATGTAAGGAAAGCAGCTGCTTCGTGTTGCCGCCTTCCAATGCGAGATTTTCCCCAGAGCTAATTTAAAAAAAAAACTGTTGTGGTATGCGGAAACATTGATGGGAGAAGGAGTAACTTGCTTCTTTTAAATTGGGGTATTGTACTTTTCTCCTTCGTTTACCTCAATTCGCACTCGGTTGAGAGGGGCTTTGCGGCAGCATGGGTTAAGATCGACTTATTACTGTGGTCACAATGGGATTTTTCCCTTAGCCGACAGGTTAGCCTTAATTTGATGCAAGATCAGAGTTTGTGCTGTTTTACGTAGCTTCTCGACCCGTTCCTTTTTTTAATTTTGATTCTATCGCATTCTTAGGTAAAAGTCTGGCTTAATATTGCCGAGACTATGGAATGAAAGCACCGAACGCGCGAAGGCCGCTAATACGAGAGGACAGGGACGCGATTTTGTCGCTCGGATCGGTTTCTCTCACGACGACCTGTCGACAATCGAGATAACATGATTTCGCTCAGAGTTGCCCGCGAGGGGATACTGCCAAGAGGATCGGGACTGCGTGCTCCACGCGGGGTGCCTCCACTGGCGAAGGCGCAAGGAGTGTGGATGCCGGGGGGGATTCGAGGAACAGGCCGGCCGATGCGGTGAGTTCCATCTCGAAGACTCGAGGGGTGTCGAGAAGTTCCTGAACCGTAGTACTTCCGTAGAACTAATACACTTCACCGTGTTGACTGTTTTCTCGTTCTGCGACGAAGTCAGTCCCATTGATATCGCATGTAAAAACCGACTGCAGTGCTATTTGTGCTTTCGAGTAAAAGAACAGGCTAAAGTTGCGAAGCGAATATGGGATGTAGGCCAAACGACGTTGTTCGCGAACTTCTCGACCGATGCACGTAATATTGCAAGGAATATTACTTGCTAAGCGGGCAACCCAAAGTCTGAGATTCAAGATGGTTGGTAAATCCATTCTGCCCCAGGAAATCTAATGAGAGAATTTAACGATGGAATGGACGGACTGTCCACCTCGCCTCGATGCGTTTTTCAGTGCCCGAAGGAAGCGCAGGGCTCGGCGAGTTCTGCAATGCAGTCTTGCAAAACTGCAACACGGAGCACGCAAACTGCACCGGAGAACCGAGTTGGGAGAAATGCGAATGCGTCGAGGGATACGTCCAGGACGAACGCGGGGAACAATGCAGTGAGTCCGCTCGATCAACTTGGAGCTCAAAGGGTCAAGTTCACTTTGCATTTCACTCTGTGATGCGAACTTAATTGTTATCGTTTCGAGTTGTCCTTTCTCCTTGGGTCTCTTCGCAACTTTGCCGAAATGGTTTTGCTAATGATACCGATTCCCCATGATTGTCTCATTTCCCTCTTCATACATTTTTTCATACTCGCAAGGCGCTGAATTCTCCATTTCAAAGTTCACCCGTTTTTGCATCCCCTTCTGCAGTTGAACGGAACCCAGGGCTAGGGGAACGATGTGATAGCATCCTGGCCACTTGCACCGCGAATAACTCCGAGTGCTTCGGAGAGGCAGGTTCAAAAACCTGTCAATGCTGGAAGGGTTTCGTAGAAGACGCTGATAACTGCAGTGAGTCCACTTGGACCTGTGGGTTCCAGTCCCTATGCCCGATGGTACGGCACCGAATATTTTCGCTTCGCAGGGCTGCCATCCCTCGGGGAAGAATGCAAGCAGGGCTATCCCTGCGGAACCGGCAACGCCAATTGCTCGCATGATGGGAGTGGCCCCTGGACCTGTACGTGCTCGTCGAAACACGTCCAGGAGCAGGATCAATGCAGTGAGTTGAAACCAGGACCCGCGTGCAACAGTATCGACGATTTACAGGGTCTCCATAATCGCTCTAAACTCTTAGAAAATTCCGAGCGTTTGGGGAGTAAAAAGTGAACACACCGTGAGCTTTTCGAATTTACTCTCTTAATACTCACCAGATGCTCCCTCATCGCTCGTATTGAAGTGAACACCTTGAAGTTCTTCATCAGGCCACTAGATGGAGGTAAGGGTCTCGCTTTTCGCACAGTACACAAAAGTTCTCTTCCCTCTTTCCCTGGAATCGTCACTCGCAGGATTGTTTAGTACCTCGACATATGTCTCGCCTAGTCTCATTATAGGAATAAATAAACACGGACACTTCATCATTTGTTATCCACATATTCAAGAAATACTTATGGAGTCCAGACCATAAACAAGTTCATATTCCTATTGAGAACCCTTTTGGAACACGCAAGACTTTATCCGCACAGGAGATCTAGAATATGCAGAAAATGTCCGGGAACTTCATTCAGTCACACCTCAATTAAATGAGGTAATGAGGAACTGATATCTCGGGCACTCTATGGAACCTATGAGAGGTTGTCCACCCCCTGACGTGTGCTGTATGCAGTATAGGCAGAGGTAGGTCAAAGCCTGTACGAGAACGAAACGACACACAGTATATAAGAACTTTCATGTTTGCATGACATCCCTATCACTTTCTAATGGGAGCGTTTTTACTCACGGAATAGGAGAGCAATTTTACTCCTTGGTGATGGAGTAAATTCGTTCCTTTCCCAGAGTGAAAGGGGGGTGAAACTGGAGTTAGCTATTTTACTCTTTTTTGGGAAAAATCGCTCCCCTTTTCTAAGAGTGTACGATTGAACACGAAGCCATTGAGCGTTTCGTGAGTGTAGACTGACTTTGACTTTGGAAGGAGGAAAGATGACATACAGTGAAAACTCGTTAACTCGAATCCTGATAAGTCGAAATTCCGCTTATCTCGAAGTTCAATGCTTGGTCCCGGCGGAACTCCGTAGGACACCATGTTAAAAGCAACGTTTAACTCGAATTCACTTATCTCGAATTTCCAGATATCTCGAATGAAATTTTCACTCCCTATAACGATTTTCTCACGGTTAACTTGAATTCAGGGTGCGAAGGGGGAAAAATTCTTCTCGTGGGACTTTTCGATTTTTGAATAGAATGAATGACCCGTTAGGGAGGATGCTCTTTTGTTTCTTTTGTGGTTTTTTTTTTTCTGCCTCTCCCTCCTCCCACACAGACGATAATAACATTTCAGTGAAGTTGATCAAATTACATGACATCAGTATCACTAAATGTCGCAAAAATGAATGAGTCTTTAATCTGACCTGAACATAACTGGATGGCACTTTTCTGCCTTTGCTTAATCTGGGGGTCTTATTTCCGGGTGGCTTTTTTCCTAAAACCGGAGATCAAGGCCCACGGGAGACATCTACCGTCGAAGGTACGCATCTGACTGAAGGCGACAAAGAGCACTGAAGATACATAAAGACATCCCTTATGAGATGTCTGAAATCGTCCAAAAGAAGATGTCTTCAGGATATCCTATAAAGACCATGAGACAAGTCGTCCAGTTGGGGACATCCCTGGGATATCACCGTCCTGTCTGGGTTGGGATTTAGGTTGGTTAACATTTCGGGTAGGCCATTATAGAGTTTCACTCCATCATACATGAGGTGCCTCTGACATTGATGCTCATTCTCTCAGTAGTTAGAGCATTATTCTACTCGTATAGTATTGATGTCTTCCACCCATGGTAAGTAGTGACCCTTCTAATTTCATTTTGTGCATGACCATGTAAGTTTCTAAGAAAAAGATAGGATAATCAAATGTCTGTATTTCCACACACGTCACAAAAGCGGTCAGCAGTCACCATGGTCGAGAATATCTTCAAGCAAGAGAACAGACATCGCAATGCAATCAATTCACAGAATATGGGAAGAGGTTAAATAACTTAACTCCTTGTTGTCGTAATCTGAAGAATCGAATACGCTGCTATCTCTTCCGGTCGTCAATGGTGTCTCCCTAGCCAGTGTCGCTAAACCATTAAGGAGCAGAGAATTTCATTCCACCATGGCCGAGGTGAGATAGACTCAGGAATTTTATTTCTTACTCTTGGGAAAATTTTGTACTTCCCATAGTGTCAGGTAAATATGCCCTACTTTTTTTTTTAGGCTGACGAGCAGCAAAAGAAGAAGAGGACCTTCCGTAAGTTCACCTATCGTGGGGTGGACTTGGATCAGCTTCTCGACATGAAAACGTAGGTGTACGCTACGAAATGCCTTATGATTACTAAAGTCTAGTCTAAAGCGACCACTTCTATCGCTCTTTCCAATGTGAACAGTTTGTCGAATGTTGTGCAATGGATGCGCTTTTAAGCCCTGTTCATGAATTGGTGTATCTCCGTGTCATGCAATGCTTAGGCCTACTGAAATTTAGGTTCAGGTGTTTGCAATACATTCAATCCTCCTGCCTCCAGAGCAGTTTGGGATCAATCCCTGACACCTTGAATATCTCAAAGCTCTTCAGGTGTAAGGGCAGGTGTATGGAGACCACATGATATCGATCTAGAAGGTTCCACGGAGGCGATTGGTAATTGAGAAAGCTTCACCTAATTAGCTCACTTTAACTCTTTGGCTGTTTGCCCAAGTACATACTTGGGCTTCTGTAGTGGTGGCATGGGTATGTTCTTAGGCTCAGAACATTCAATGTTTCTACGTTATTTCACAGCTATTTATGCATGTAACTGCTATCTTCAATAATTATGACATTGTCTAACATAAACTATGGTTTTAGACGAGCAGGGCCAATTTGTATACGAAAACATATCAGCCATCCCCCCTGTGTTATAGCAGCCAAAGGTTTAAAGCCTCCCATGGTTTTGAATTATTTTCTTCAGAGAATATGGTAGATGAGTTTCTATGTTGAATGGAGGATGGGAAAGCCTTTTTTTGGGACAGAAGTACTATTGCTTTCCCTGTATTCTTCTACATTATGGCCAGGGGTAGGGCTCATAACTCTGAAAGGTGTTACATTAGTTCTTTTGTGTTTCCACTAAGCCCCCAGTTAATTTACCTTAGAGAAGAGGCAATTAACAGACTAAGTGAGCTGTATTCCTTCTATGTTTTGGTCAAAAGATTGCACAAGTCAACCTATTTTTTGGGATAAGGGATCAGTTGGATTAGAAAATAAACCATTCCCAAAAATTGTTTTAGTTCCTTACTCTTTACCTTACCTTTACCTTATTTCCCCACCTAAGTGGGAAAATCAGCATTCTCCACTAATCTTGCTTGTGTGATGAGAGGTCACCCCTGAATGAGGAAGATTAGCAAGCCAGATGGGCACAAAGAAATCCAACTCCTACAATGCAACCAGAAGGTTCCCCAGTCCAGTCTTTGTCATTCTGGTGAACCTGTCAGTGCACTGGCACAGTTCATGGACCTCAATGATTTTTTCCCAGTTCAGTGTCAAAGGCCAAAGAGTCAACCTATTTTTGGGAATGATAGGTCAGTTTGGATTAGAACAGGGTCACAGCTAAACTCTTTTGGCCCAAACATTGAAGGAATGCAATGCAGCTCACTTGATCTGTGTTTGGCATTTCTCTGAGGTTAGTTTGGGTTTAGTGAGAAACCAAAGCCCATCTAACTGGGAAGGATTTCATTTTGGTTTTAGCCCATGCTACTTAATTCTGTACTGGCATTTTGGTCAAGTGTGGCAATGATAAAGTGGACATTTTATCTTCCTGTTCACTTTTGATTATTCTTTTCCTCCATGCAAGTGCATCTATATGTAGGTTATGAAATAACGCACCTATGTGGTACGATTACCAGGGAACAGCTGATGGAGTTATTCAACTGCCGAGCTAGGAGGAGGTTCTCCCGAGGTCTGAAGAGGAAACCAATGGCTCTCCTGAAGAAGCTCCGCAAGGCAAAGAAAGAAGCCCCCCCAATGGAGAAACCTGAAGTTGTCAAGACTCATTTGAGGAACATGATTATTGTTCCTGAAATGGTTGGCTCCATCGTTGGTGTGTATCAGGGAAAGACCTTCAACAGCGTTGAGATCAAGGTACAGAGTATAATTGACAATGCCTCCCTTATTTTATACCCAGGGTTCTCTTTGTACATTGTGACATAATCCATTTTGGGACTGTCGGTATCAAGGTTTGCTTTAGTAGCACCTCACGAATGGGAGATGAATTGGAACTCTAGCATATTGCCACTTTTGCTTATGGTGTAGTAAGGAATAAAACAGTAATAGCAGAATAAGTATATCTTGGAATATACTTACAACTGTCTATACTGATTGAATCCTTATAACTGTAATTAACTAGATGCTGCCTCTATGCTGCTTGATTTTGTTGATAATCTCAAGTCAGCTAACAACTCCTTTTGCATTGTTCATTTTGTGGCTTTTTAATAGAAAAATGCATCTTTTCATGAGTGATAGTAATGATATACATAATACATAAAACTGTGAGAGGAGAATGCGATGAGTACAGTATCAAAGATGCTCTTTCAATCTACTGTGCTGGATGATAAAAAGCAAAACAAAAAACTAGGGAGCCAGGAATTTTCTAATTTGAGGCACCCATTCTGTTGTTTTTCTGTCCATAGAATAGCAAGTGAAAGGTATTTTATTGAATCCATGAGGTTAGGGAAAATATGGCAGAAGGAAGAGCAGCACTTTTTTGTGGTTATTGTGTCTACAACTAAATCAAGTATGAGAAGAGAATCATGGGCATTACATTTATTATGATTTTTGGGTTTTGGGACCCTGTTCTGAATAATCCAAATTTATGTAAATGAATTAATGCAGCACCATTTGGTATGAATTTTATAGTTGTTCCCTTTTTATTCTGTGTAGCCTGAGATGATTGGTCATTACTTGGGAGAATTCAGCATCACATACAAGCCTGTGAAACATGGAAGGCCTGGGATTGGTGCCACCCACAGCTCTCGGTTCATCCCTCTCAAGTGAATGCGGAATGGGTTACTGTTGATGTCCTTCTGTTCTCTCTGCTCTTGCAAATTGAGGAGTAAAGGACTCTAATATTGATGCCTGTGTATAATGCTTTTTCATTCTTTGGTGAGAAAGGAACAATACAATGCACTGTTGTTGGTATGCACAGAAACATAATTGACATGAACTACTAGACAAAATAATTTTTTTAGTGATTCCAACTTGATCCAAGTAAAACTTGATAGATCTAAGCTGATCCAAAGAACTTGCGGAAGAGTGACATGAAAGCAGAGTCCTTCTCTCCACTAGACACAATCTCTGTCCTTTCCCTTGGGCTATAGCTGGAAGGTCTTGAGTCTGGTTCCACAGTGAGTGGCACATCAGTTTTTCCATCACAATTGGGAAGAATGCGCTTGAATTCCCTCTCTTCTTTCCCTGAACTATCTCGGATGACTTTCTCCTCTTCCACTGTCTTTTTTTGTGATAAAATCACCAAAAATCCCTCCCTTAGTCTTTTTTTTTTTCACTACAAAAATCTCATCAGAAATATGAATGCAATAGCATTGCACTTACACCATCTGGAAGTTGAACCCGTCTGACTGAGACTGAAGACCCAGGAGATGAGTAGGAGTAAGAATACGATGAGGAGGAGATAGGACCAGTTACAGTAATCCTAGGCCTGTAATAGTCCTGTTCTTGTCTTCTGTCTCCTTGGGATCCACTGGAAAAGAGTTGATTGATGGCCACTTCAGCTAAAGGCTCATCCAAGGCCATATCTTCCTTTTCCCTTTCAGTCCCTCTCATTTGGTCCTCTAGTTCATCCTTCAGCATCCTGTCACGAATACTCCTCTTGCTGTTCCATCCTTGATCACCTTGTAGTCCTGGGCCTGTATCCAGAATAAGTTTGAATATTCTTATATATGCAATGACTGTAGGAACTGAAGTGACTAAAACATAGCAAAGTACAGGAGGGGATTCTGGAGAGGCTTCCAAGAATACCTCCCCAGAAGGACCCACATGCCTCAAGTACATTCTGCTTTGTCATAACATTGGAGATGAAGTGGGAAAGATAGAGACCTGTTATAGAAGGAAATTCTGAGTGTGGTAGTCCAGGGAAATCTCTCCTGAAGAGCTCATTCATCTCGTGAAACATGTTCTCAAACTGTCCCATAAAGCCGAAGAATGGATCACTGGGAAAGATAAGTTCATTTTAGTCCAAGAACTTGTCCTGTAATGTCTTGGTGAATCTTGAATGATGGACTCACTTGGTGCTTCCCCCATGGTGGCCAAAAATGTCATATCCATCGTCATCGCCATCCTCATCTCCAATCATGGAGTTCTCATTAGGCCTGAAACCAAATGAAAATAGAAGATGAAATGGGGGAATATCTTAAATAATGCATTTCCCTTCGATTGCCCTTTGGCTGCTCTGCTAGCGAGAGTATGGTGGGCTTACCATGAAAAGTGTTGTCCTCGATTGGGAATGCTAAAAAATGCACGAAAAAAATCCATAGATTTGATCAACTCTTACAAGAACTAGTAAATTATTGTGGCCGTCTTCAGAAAAAGAAAAGTGCTAGAGACTGGATCAAATTCCTTGGCCTTCTCAAACAATGGTCTCCCTGCCAATGTGTTACCTGTTGAAAAAAAAAAAAGAAGGGTTGATGAGATTTGAAATGACTGCATATTTCTTAGTTGTTATTTTTGATGATTTGGAAATATTCAAATCTTTAAATATTTGAGTCTACTATCTCCTGAAAATCCAGCCTTCGTTAGGCTGAAGGCCTTATATCAAGGCCTATGAATAGGTAGGTCAATTATGATGATATATACCTTGGCACAGGACCACATATGGCAATCATTTGTTATATTCACAATAAGCATAGAGTAGACGGTGTTTAAAAAAAAACTGTGCCAAGTCATTTTTGCTATTAATGACAGTAAATTTTATCAGATCAACTTAATTTTTTTTTAACTATGTTGATAGAGGAAAGAAGGTATATGCCTAATTTTAAGAAATTAACCCATTGTATCATGTTCTATGGCATTTCAAACTTGACAGGTAAAAAAGTGTGCCATACAAGCTCAAAAAAAAAAGCCAATTTGTTTTTTTATTATCTGAATTTTAGCTAATTTCATCCTATTGGCCCAATACTTCACAAACTACATGTGGATAGATGAAAGAAGAATTTTGCAAATTTTGAACAATATTGGCAGAATGTATCATGTGATACACTGATTCAAACTTGGAAAGCTGAGAAAATGCACTGGACATACCTGCTGATGCCTTCGTCTCAGCTGTGCAGCAAGCAAATTTCTGCATGCCATCCAGAATGGTAAAGGAGGTTCACTTCACTGGCTTACATGAATACATCAGCAGGCATGTCTGTTGGATTTTCGTAGCCTTTAAGTTTTAAGTGGTGTATCATATGATACAATCAGTCAATATCATTCAAACTTTGCAATATGAAATTTACTAACATTCTGATAAAAAATACGAATTTTCACTTTTTTTGTGCTCGTACAGCACACTTTTTGACAAGTTTGAAATGCCATCTTTGATTGCCATCCTTACAATCCTAGTTACAAGGGAACAATCCTTACAAGATTTCATTGTGTGGATCCAATGTATATCTCATTGATAATTTAGCAAACTCCATCTATATCAACAGCTGGTAATTAAATGCCAAATGCAAGATAGTTCTTGCATCCAAAGTTGGATGCCTGCTTTTATTGCTTGACCTCCAGTTGGGGACAATCATTCATTCAATTACCAAAGCCACCACAGAAACTGCAGCCTCCCTTACCACCATGGTTCAGGTATTTCCCAGCTTTGGACTTAAGAGCATCCAGTAAGAGATGAATCTTCTGCTTTTCCATCCAAGAGAAGGTACAGATTTCTGGCAGATCTCAATGAATGTTTTATATGATGTTTAATATAGATTAATGTTTTGCCACACCCATCCATCCCACCTGACTTGTACCACCAAGATGGTGAACATACTGTAGTTGTCAATATCTTCCAACATGTCAAAGCCAATGATGTGTTGAATGTCAGGAAAGTCAAACCTTTTGAAAACCATGTCAGCCACAACCAAGACATTCTTGGTGTGATTTTTTAAAGCTAACATGCTTCAGGTCTGCTCTTTCCTCCATGGAAGATCACTGCTTCCTGAGTTCTCACATGATCCAGTTGACTTCCAACTCTCATCCTGAATGTGCATCGTGTCAAAGTTTCTGAAGCTTAAGTTTCTCTGTTTGACAAGGACATAGTTGTCATTGCTGTCTGAAGCTAAGTCCTGCCCATCTTGCATCACCTAATCCCACTTGAACTTTTTGGATTGCAAAATCCACCACCACAGCAACATAGAATCCCTCAAAGTTGTAATAGGACCACAACCACGCGTAATATCTGAAGGCTCTTGGTAGGTCGATGAGGCCCAAGATCATCACCGAATTATTCTTCATAAATGTGGAAAAATAACTTTTCCAACTCAATTTGATTATATATATATTTTTAATTTTGACTTCAGTCTAACGTAGTGACTAGATTTTTTCGCGAAATACGGGGACCTTTTCAAGAAAATGCCCAAATGTTAATATTTGCGATGGGGAAAAGTCGGACACCGTAATGGAAAATAAATTCCAACTGGAACAGCCTGAAAAATTGTGACGACTAGTCACCCTAATCTAACGTTAGCCTAGGCCAGGGGTATCAAACTCGATTAGGGCGAGGGTCGGACGGAACCCTTCAGGGATGGATAGGGGCACAAATCTCACACCGAAGTTTTTATTCTGAAAAATATACATTTGAAGAACTTCTCCTAACCCAACTATTGAATTGGACTTCGCGGGCAAGGCAAAATGGACTGGCGGGCCGCCAGTTTGACACCCTGGTCTTGAACGCCTATGGGCTATCATGAAACCCTGACGTGTGAACGAACGATTGGGAAGCACCAAGTGCGTATCCGCGATGGTTGAAGTTCCCAAAACTACCAGGGCGACGCCATAGTGCAATTGCATCATAGTACGAGCACTCAGTGAGTACGAGTTGGAGGCGCATTGCACCTTTGACTCTTTTTTTCTTGGCCTGATCGCTTCTGCCGGAGTTTCCCCTGGGATTTTCACTTTGAAACACAAACGGTCTGAGTTAATTGGTATGTAAATCGACGGAGTTTTCGGATTGACTTATCCTCTTTACTCTTCCTCAACGCCGTCTCAATGAAGTCTCCAGAGACATCTAGTGATCGTATTCATTACATGAATGGACAAGGGCAATTGCAAGCGTAGTACACGTAGCAACATCCTGTTGTAAGCGAGTGAATTGCTACTAAGTCGGGTGGCGAAGGGCCAAATGGTGGTGCAAAATAAAACACGTCCGTTTTGACGCCTTATGAATCCGACTGTGGAAATGCTATGTTCGCAATGTTTTTGTATCACATTGGAAGCACTAAAATATTTGCTTCTTCAATGATTCAAGTTGTGGTTGTCTGGGTGAAAGGTGACATTCATTCAGATTGAAGTGATAAAATGTAACTTTCTTCACGCATGAGGTGGATATAGTTTCAGCCAGTGGAGTAGCCAGGATTTCGCCAATGGGGGGGGGGGGGGCCGTTTATACCGAATTTGGGGGGCTGAAGCCCCCCTCGCTCCGCCACTGGTCTCAGCACTGCTCAAATTTCTCATCTTTGACGCCGTAAAGACTTCTTTTTCATGCTGTAAGCTCATGACATTCTTGATTGTGTAATGTTTAAAGACACTACACAATCAGGTGAGAAGGAAAGACTGAATTTGCAGGTTTGTATTAGGACTGGAGGTAGAAAAATGATGTGCATTTCCTATCAAATCGTGATTTAAGGCTCCTGTGAAGCCTTTTCCCTCTCCAGCCCGTCCTTTAACGCTTCAAATGCTCCCAACGTATATATACGCCCTCTCTTTAGCGTGCTTGCACTGCTGCGGGGGTCAATTTACGCTTTAAAAAAAATTTTTTTGCTGTTTCAGTGGCTATTTGAGTGTCAATGTAAATGCCTTTCTTCCGCCTTCTTCATTCAATAAATCACGATTTTCGCCTGACAAGGTATTTAAAAAAATAAGAAATCAAACACCTAAAATAATTCAGCACAGAGCTGCAGATATCGGTAATTTAAATTAGCATTTAAAGGGGTATCCGGGAAATTACAGACCGGTAAGTCTCACGAGTATCCCAGGGAAGATCATGGAGAGCATACTAAGGGACCATCTCTTGGATTTCCTCGAAGGAAACGCGCTCATTCGGGACTCAACACGGCTTTAGGAGGCGTCGAAATTGTCTCACCAATTTCCTCGAATTCTACGACTAGGCGACGGAAGAGAGGGATAAAGGGAATCCCGTGGACATCGTCTATTTAGATTTCGCAAAGGCTTTCGATACCGTTCCTCACAAGAAGTTGCCGGTTAAACTGAAGGCGCACGGGATCCAGGGTAGGACGAGCGAGTGGATCGGTAGCTGGTTGGCAGGACGAGAGCTACGTGTGATAAATGGGGAAGCGTCGACGAAGGAGGTCGGAGTCGCAAGCGGTGTCCCTCAAGGCAAGGTCCTTGGACCGCTTCTGTTTTTGGTCTACATAAACGATTTGGATCTCGGCGTAGAGGGTAAGATGAGTAAAAATTTGCCGACGACACCAAGATAGGTTTTACCATAAGGGGGAGGCGGATAGGACTAGAGCCGAGCGAGATTTAAGTCTTTTGGACGAGTGGAGCAAGAAATGGCTCATGAGGTTTAATAAAAGTAAGTGTAAAGTTCTTCACGTCGGTCGAAACAACGGTAGGTCTCTCGACACGTTCGGCGATGTTAAATTGGATGAGGCAAACGGAGAGAGAGATTTAGGTGTTTCTATCGATGAGGACCTCAAGTTTTCCTCGCACGCGCAAGCGACGGTGGCCAAATGCAATAGGATTCTAGGTTACATTCGTCGGTCGGTTGCAAGTAGGACATCTCGCGTTATTCTTCCGTTGTATGCGGCGCTGATAAGACCCCAGCTGGAATATTGCATCCAGTTTTGGAGGCCTACAAATAAGGGCGATCTGTTGGCGCTCGAGGGAGTACAGAGGAGGGCCACAAGAATGATTAAGGAGGTTAGGGGACTATCATACGAGAAGCGTTTAGAAGTGTTGGGACTGTACTCGCTCGAACGAAGGTTAAGGAGGGGCGATCTCATCCAGGCTTTCAAGATAATTAAAGGAATAGATAATGTCGAGTGTGGTAGGTTTTTCCAGTTTGATGACAGCAAGAGAACGAGAGGTAACCGACTTAAGTTGCGCAAACCGCAGGTGCGGCTCAGGTCGAGACAGGAATTCTTTACTTGCAGAGTGGTGAACGCGTGGAATGCGTTAGATGACGAAGTAGTGGCTGCCCCGCGCTGTGACTATATTTAAAAAGAAACTAGATGTTTTCATGGGCAGGCAAAAAGGTGGGGGGCAATGTTGACGTTAGGTACTAGACAGTAAGCAACTAGGATAGTCAAATAAAACACAAAAACAAAATACAAAAATATTTAGCTTTAAGAGGGTTAGGCCTACCCAAAAATTAAGGAACGCTTGACTCGACACGTGATATCGAAATGGGCCTCTTGATATCACTAACTATCCTGAAATCCTGGGTAAAAACCACTCCTTCTTTAATGCAGTGACTTTTCCTTATTAAGATATGACATGAAGACGCTCCAGTCAAGAAAATTCCAATACGAATGTAGCTATTTGAAGTAGGATATTTTGGCGAAAAATGGAAGACATCTGCAGAGCATCGCTGCCTCCCGATGTGTAGAAAAGTGAAATTTTTTCGAAGCTTCAACTGTTGTTCTGTACCCAATCAAGGTCCAAACTTTAATGAAACGCATTTTGTAGTGTTTTCTGTAATACATACAATAAAATAACGCAAATCATTACAAATCTAGGATTTTACATTAGGCTCTTAATAAGACATGATTTTTTTTTTGCACCACTCAGTATAACTCAAGTGTAGGGCCCACATGGGAATATGGAGCAAAAGCAAGAGGGATGATTGCTCAATCCAAAAACTTCAATGGAGGCTTTTCTGAAAGGCTTCATACATGCTGGATTTTTAAAATCAGCCAGTTTCTAAATTGGATTGCCTCCAGAGAGGGTGCAAAGGTATGACCACTGATCAATCAGGCAGGTTTAGCCTGAAAGATCATGCAGTGTATTGCATCAGTACATGACCAAATTACTGAGGAATTCCTTAAGAGATAGGATGATTCAATGTAATGGGGTAATCACAATTCAAGACGAGAATAACAGCCTTTTTATTAGCTCAGATGCCACCTTCTCGAGAAGACATCATCTTTTGTTTAGCAAGCTTCTTCTTCGAAACTTTCTTCTTGGCTGGTTCATCTGAATGAGGCTTGGCTACCATCTCCTCCTTCTCTGTAAGGACCAGCTCAATGTGGCATGGACTTGACATGTATGCTGTGGCAGAAACAAAAATGCAATTTAGCACCTACAAATAATGTACATAGAATCCTGGAACATTGATACCCTGTTAATGGTTTGAACTCCCAGAAAAAGTGGATGAAAAGGCCATAATTAAACTCTAAGAAAAAAGTTTGGAATATTGGTGTTGCTCTACAATAGGAAGGAGGTTTTTCCGAAAACCTGTATCCTGAAAAGTAAATAAATAACAGGGAGCTGTATTCGAGGACCCAGTGTAATTTCATTTCTGTAAATAAAGACATACATGTTCATTCTGAAACAATGTTTGCTCTTTACTTATCATGAAGATTTTATGATATCCCTAACTTTCCTCTTAGAGTTTACATGGCTGAGTTATGAACCAGTAATGAACTGAGCACCAGAAATTATTTTCAGTAATTCCAGCTCTGTGGCATGGAAGATAGAGTTCCTAAAACACAATTTTCAACAAAGAGAATTATATCCAAGTAACGCAGATCAAAGGTATTCTTTTGATCAAACTAGTCTGTAGCTGTGTAGAAGCAAATAAGAATTTAAAGGTAATGATACTCATTATTAATGCATAGAAATGAATAAATTAATTATTGTCTTGCAAAATCATGTATTTTGTAAATAATGAACTTAGTGAGAAATTAACATCATAGTTACTGTCCTTGAACTTCACTATAGACACCAACTCTGGGGTCATCACTTTGTTGGCTATTGATGACCATAAATATTAGGCCACTCTTCTCTCTGACATATATATGGCCACTGTGGCAGATACAGAAATTATTCATAGGGGTAGCAGTTCCCTGGCTCCAACCCCACACCCTCTAACTCTTTCTCTTTTTTCATTTTTTACCTGTGATGAAGCTTGGATATCTATTTCACAGGTTCCAATGAAAATGATTTAATGTACATTTCAAATTTAAAATACTGAATGCAAACATGGCCATAAAGGGAAGGAGGGAGGGGGGGGGGGGTCAGTTGCAACTCCCCTTAAGATCTGCCACTGTGAGAAGACAGGGAGTGGCAAAACACCCCTACTTTCTCGAAGGTCTGCCCTGCACTTTGGTAATCATAATGGTAAAGGCAAGGTGAATGGGAACTAATGCTGAGTGAAGATGAAGGGTAGCCCAAACATTAAAAGGTTAACTTTGAATAGTCACTTTATAGACTAAACACACTACAGACCATGGTAGAGTTTATTATACAGATCTTGTAAGAGACAAACTAAACTCATGCCCATTCAAAAAGTGAAATAACGTTTTTGGAGCATCAAGTGCATAGAAGACCTCAGGAATATCAGACTGCTACAACATACGATTGATGCGCCCATGAGCACGGTATGTCCGTCGCCTCATCTTGGCAGCCCTGTTGACCATGATGTGGTCCACCACCAAGTGATCCACACTAAGGCCCTTGTAGTTAGCATTAGATTCAGCATTCTTCAAGAGCTGCAGCAAGAACTCAGCTGATTTCTTGGGCCACCTGCCCTGAGTTGTCTTGAATGCTTTGGCCTGTGGGGGGGAAGCAACATCATGAATCAGCAACCATTGCAAGTACACAACAATTTCAATATTTATGAGACATCTACTGTTCCTTTTTGATGAATGCTAGGAACAAGAAGCATAGACACACCTGGGCACAGCGTCCAACACCACCAGTGAACCGACGGAAGGGGACGCACTCCTTGTGTCCAACAACATTTTTCAGATACGTCATTGCTCTCTGTAGAGGCATCTTCTTGATGGCTTGGGCAGTTTCTCGTGTGTTCTGCAATGAAAACAATTGAATCAAAGTATGACCACAAGCCTTTTTTGATCTTTTAGCAATAAAAGCTTGCAGTGCTATTCATTGCCTAACCAGCGATTCCAAATGCAAACTCCATGAAAAACTCTTATAATAAGGAGTTTACAGGGTTGTAAACTCCTCATGGGAAGAATTTATTATTTCATAACCTTTCTCCCCTGCACAAAGCAATAGCTTTTCAAGGTAAATTGAAAAGATTTGTCATTATACTTAAGTACATATCAGTGATGACGGGTACTAAGTGTAATGACCCAGGACCCCTGGGATGCACAAGCAGAAGGCCTAAGACTGTTGGATTTAATATATTGCTTGATTGAGTTAAGTGAGCAAATGAACATGGATTGCTGGACTTTTACTTTTAGGGAACCCTTCCAGATTCCCTTATGCTTCACTAGGAAAGTAACCCTCTTAATTGTCAGGAAACCTCTTCCATATCAGACCTGTGGTTCTCAAGGACCCCTACAGCAAGAAACAGTGCAACCCGTTAATGTTTATTATTATTTTTCCTACTTTTCAACAGGTAATGGAAGATATGTGAAGATTGCACCCATTCTTACAATCCCAAATGACTGCTGAAAATGGAAGGGAAATATGCTGTACATTGTCCAGCTCAAATATGACGTCAGAAAAAACCACAAGCCCTGCAGAAGCTTCCACAAACTGTAATTTGGCTATTTTTATTTTCTTTACCAAGTCCACAGATTTTCTTTGTCCTCAGCCTCTCCTTTTGCATAAATGATGATATGGGAGAAGGGATGGAAGAAGACTTTCCATAGGCTAACAAGAGTATCTCAGAATATCTTATAATTCATATAAATGAATAATTCATCTTTTTGATAGGGTAAAACATTTCCAATGAATTTCCCAACCATGCATTTATTGGTTTTTGGATCACGAGAAGCAAGAGTTTTCCCAGAGAAGTGTGACTAGCAACTGCATCATCAATACTATTCTAACTGGATAGGATCTGGGTGATGGGGGAGGAATGTTACAGATGACAGTCATACTCTTTTCACAAGGGTCTCATGCAATATGGAACTGTATCTTCATGGGATGAGAGACTAAGTTATGCGGGATGGGCAGAATGGTAGAAAACATCAACACAAATATAGGTTCCTTAGAGGTGAAAAAAGCATAAATACCATGTGTAAGAGTTTAAAAGTGAGACATGTTGGGTATTGTGCAAACTGTATATAGGCAACAAGCTGCTGCATGGAAAGAAAATATAGCCTTTCATGAGAGTAGTCTTTCAGTATTAACTTCAAATTCATCAGCCTTATTCAGTACTAATTTGACCATCAGACATCAACGTACCTTGAAATGTACCCGCAAGTTTGAGCCTCGAGCCTTGCAACTCTTGGCTGCATTTTCTGGCTCTTTGGCGTACCGGGAAACCATGGTATCTCACCAATCTCCTAAAATAAAAAAAAACATTGACATTAGTGAAATGGGAACTACAAAAGAATTACAATACTTGTATACATGCTACCAGAAGGCCTAGGCCCACAGTCCAATGTCCAATGAAAAACTTCTAGAGGATGTAGGAGATATATTGTGTCATATATGACACAATATATATATTGTGTCATGAAGCCTAGGCCTAATGCATACTTATTTGCAAAAAAACACCCTGAAAAAGAAAGGTGTGGTTTCCATGTACTTTCATCACTTCACAATTTGAATGAACTTAACAAATACATGGGTTGCACCTGTTGAATCGTCAAAATAGAATTGTACGAACAATGGAAGAGGTATGCCATGAACAGGAAGTAATATTAACGTTTCTGTATTCGCATCTAACGATGGCCTCGCCTCTCCTGTATTGAAAAGCGCGAGACACTGCCCTCAGTTGTGGTTCCTTTTCTCTTCCCCTCAAAGTGACAGGCCTACTGTATCACTTAACGTGGTGTCCTCGGCGTTTAACAGTGATCTAGCTATGTTAGTATTATATTTATGACGATGGGTTTGGGCCTCCCTAGCTATCCAAATCGCGTTCAGACGACTGGGCGCTGATGAAGGTGCCTAGATTGAAAGAATAACCCTACCGGAAAAAATAATGATTCTGTTGAATTTGGAATTCCACGCAAATGTCAAGTAGCCTACTTCAGGCGATATATTGAAAACGTGTAGCACAAAATGAAAATCTCCCTTACCTAAAGCCGAGATGGAAGGAAGAAGGAACATACTAGTGTTGCCATGATAGTCGGTCGTAGCGTACAGAAAATAAATCACCAAAGTTCCAAATTTGGCACACTGTATTAAAATCTTCAAGTAAATGTTGATGTAAAAACTCAGGATGTAAAATGCAAAAGGAGAAAAGAAACTCACTTGATTATAATGCTTGTAAAATGAGACTTGATCAATCTTCACGAGACAACCATGCAGACGTGCAAGTAAGAGGAGCGGAAGCTTCATGGCGCCCTGCTACACTGCTGGCTCACACTAGCGGCTTTAGATCCTCTTTCGTTTCGTCTGCTTTCATTTTAGGTCCATTGAAGCTACTCGTCTTCTGTCGAAAACATGGTTTGTGGATTTTTTTTGGCACATAGTAGGCTCAGGCAGAACCCTAGGTCTACCGCTATTCGGTAAAAAATATGTTTGTTGGTAAGTATGTGGATTGTCTCCCAGTTTCCAGACGAATTCAGCTAGAGCTGCAGCAACATCGATTGGAATTCCTTTTAATTATCATGAACACCAACCCAACCTAGCCTTACTTTAGGGGCAACGCACTATCTCTAGGGGGTACGCGCTTAACCGTAACCGTAGCCATGACAATGAAAAACTCGTTTAGGAACTATGGCTCCTCCGTATATAGGGGTTTGAATATACGTTCCCAGATGCACAAGTTATACGATGCAAATATAAATGAAAACTTTCAAGGAATGCTTGTGTTGTATGAAATGACCAATAGAGAACATGGATATATCCAAAAACATCTTGGATTGTATGTACATGGACCTATTAAATCATGGGTTAACATCAAATGCCTACAATCCTGTTATTAGCAGGTTCCTGATCATAATTCTTCATTAACTTATAGTTAATTAAAGATTCAATGAACACAAGTAAGTCCATATAAAATGTTGACTCTGAGCTATAAATTTAAACAAAATAAAGATTGCATTTAAAATACAAACCTAACACACAGCTGAGGAAGTGGATTTTCAGAATTTGTCACTTTTGCCAAAACTTATCTCTGCATGAATATGAAAAAAGTAACCATAGATGTATAGAACTCCTCATTGACAACGCAATGCTTCCTGTAGGATCCTGCATTTTTCTTGAGTTTTAAGAATACATGCCAATGATTCAAATGTCATCTTCAATGGAAAAAAATTTGAGTTATCAGAGTGGAGGAATATAAAAAAAAGTATATGCTCAATTACATTTAAAAAACTAACTTCACTATTGAAAAAAAATAAAATATTAAAAAAGAGGAGATAAAAATGCCTCACTTGTTGGGTAAATTCTTCAAGAGGCATATTAAATAAAACAACTGGGGTAATATTAGATGGAAACATATTTCAGACAAAACGCAACCAAACCTGCTTAAAAATAGCAGCATTCAATGGGCAGAGAGTAAAGCTTACTACTTAATTCCATGGTCAGTTTTAAGAAACACTCTCATTCTTTGCTGTATTGTTACTGCTTATCAATAGGCATGTCAAAAGTATTTGCCTAAGAAGAAGTGCTCCAAGAAAGAAGTATTACAATTATGAGCTTTCCTGGCCTCAGAGAAAACACTAAAGGTCTCTCTTCTATTCTTGGGGATTCTTCCTTTAAAGAATTATTCAGTTCTATCCTTGTTGAGTTACTTATCAAGAAGGGCAGTTCTGAGTGTCTAAAACTTAAAATTAGTTTTAGTGGCTTGAATTTGATCAGATGTGGCAATTCTCTATCAGCATGGCAAGCTGGCTCAATATTCTGACACTGATTTTTCTTCATCCTAGGCAAGGCGATATGACACTCGGACAACAATCTTCTCTCCCGAAGGTCAGTTTGGCCTAGGTATCACCTGGCTACAAACTTGCTGATATCCTTTTATTGCATTTGCTTATGATTGATTTTGGGAGGGAAGGGCATCCTTTGGCCTTAATTTATTCATTTGCTGATTAGTTTTCTCAGGTAGATAATAAACTGATATTTATGATATCCTTTAATATCTATTTTATGTTATGCACTTCAATAATGTATGGACTTGGTGTTAATGTATGGAGTGTTGGGACAAGTTCCTAGTCTTTCTTGCATTTCAGCATGTGAGGTCCATGCTTTCAACTATGCTTGATGACTTTTAAATTTTTCAATTTAATCATCATAGTTTGTTTTGTTTTTTTTTAGATACCCAGTGAACCTTTATTTCCAGTGATTTTGTAACCTTTTTAAATATTAAAATTATTGAAAATGACAAAATCTATGGTGGTCTTATTTTTTTCTCATTCCTACTTGTGTGATGGTCTGAATGCTAAATATGTGGCTCCTTTCAATGCATGGTCTTGGTAGGGTTGCAAGGTATATTGACATATCTGTACCCTCACATTATTAAGATGCAGTGATATTGATATCATTATTTAATAATAAAGTTCAATGAGTGTATTGTAATTTAAGATAATAAATCTTCATTATTTGCCACTGAAATTGAATTTGATATTGATATTGACTGGACATCAATCTGGTGCTCAAAACCAATTTTTTATTATTATAATGATTCATTTTAAACAATTTAATAAAAGCCCATGGTTAGTAAAGGGCTTGCTGATCATAAAATCAAGAGGAATGGATGGTGTCCCTCTTGACTGAAAGTTCAATGAAGGAAACAGGTTTTGGCATATCATAGGGATCGATCCTGGGTTTACTGTTTTTCCTCATATACAGGGTGTTCGTATTTAAATGCAACATAGGGAACATATTGCTGTCTATAGGTGGAGGTTGACAAACGCTATAAGGCCCACTGGGTTGCATATTTGCAAGGATACTACACACCAGGGATAGGTTTCATCCTTCCAGATATGCAACCCTGTGAGCTATAATGCATGCCTTGAACTCAATGAGCAGGTGGCAAAAACTTATTTATGTTGCATTTAAATACGAACACCCTGTATATAAATGACATCATAGGTGCATATCAACAGGAGATATTAATCTATGTGCGGATGACACTAATATTTTCTATTATGGCCCATCTTTCGTAACTATGCAAATTGTAGCACAAGAAGACTTGGGTAGCTTAAATAGATGGTTCATTAGAAAAAATTTAATTTAAAAAATAGAAAAAATAAATATGGTCATAGATCAATTACAGCTACAGTGACAGGATATTATAATCCCTTGCCAATTGAAGTTGACAATTTACTATATTACAAACAATTCAAGAAAAACCTAAAGAAATACCTCCTGGAAATATAAGCACCTCACTTTGGAAGTAGCATATATTTTCTAAAATTACTTATTCTACTCAGGCAACCCAAGGCAAACCTTCAGGCTCTCTGGGAAGCCATTCCTATGTCTATTGCAGTGTTATATTTTTCTGAGTTGACAAAAGAAAAGGGTATTCATTCATCCAGCCAGAATTGGCAAAGTGCACTCATATATAGTTTGATAGGAAATACTAGTCTTGCCCTTGTTGAAGCCAGGTGCAATTAATATTCTTGGTGTACTTGGAGGATGTGCCTGGTGATTAATGAGTATAGTCCTTTGCCTTACTTCTTTGATTCACTCTGAGTCCATCTTTAATCCATGCCTCAGTCATCAGGGCAGCCAATGCTAGATTGCTTGATTCCATTTGCCAATGTTATGATGGCATACACAAAAGTAAAAGTTTAAGAAGGTTCAATGAGGTATGAGAGATCTTTGGCCTTTTCTTGATTTTACAGTTTATGTTGATATTTCAATTAAATTTTATTTTGTATCTTGCATCTGACTTTTAGGGAGGTTGTACCAAGTGGAGTATGCCATGGAGGCCATTGGTCATGCAGGCTCATGCTTGGGGATTCTAGCATCAGATGGGATTGTTCTTGCTGCTGAGCGTAGAAATACCAACAAGCTTCTTGATGAAGTGTTCTTTTCTGAGAAGATTTACCTCCTCAATGAGTGAGCTTTTTCCCTTTATAGCATTAACCAGGCCTGCCCTTTATTGCCACTTTCACTATTTAGGTTCTCATTGTTTTTCTCAACAGTGATATGGCATGCAGTGTTGCTGGGATCACAAGTGATGCCAATGTTCTCACAAATGAACTTCGTCTTTTAGCCCAACGCTATCTCATTCAGTATGGAGAATCCATACCATGTGAGCAGCTTGTATCGTGGCTTTGTGATGTCAAGCAGGCATACACACAGTATGGAGGTATATCTCTTGAAACATGTCCTCAATGTGCCCTACTTCTGCTATGAAGTTGATTGGAAACTCAATGGTGCTCTTTACTTCCTTCAGGAAAGAGACCTTTTGGTGTGTCCATTCTGTACATGGGTTGGGACCGGTATTATGGGTTCCAGTTATACCAATCAGACCCCAGTGGAAATTACAGTGGTTGGAAGGCAACCTGCATTGGGAATAATGCAGCTGTGAGGATATGCAGTTTATAATGGATTTATTTAAATCCTTCATATCTCAGTTTTAGTGAAACTCTCTTGAATTCTCATATTTCATGTCTTTTAGGCTGCTGTATCAATCCTGAAGCAAGAATACAAAGAGGGAAATACCAATTTGAAGGATGCTCTTTCTCTGGCCGTGAGAGTGATTGCCAAGACTCTTGATGTTACGAAACTAACTGGAGACAAATGTGTGTCTCGTTTCTCAGCTTATGTCATCAATAATCTTATTCATACTTTTTATTGTAAATTGCCTTGTTCTGTATTGACAGTGGAAATAGCGACCCTGACCAGGAAGGATGGAAAGACCAAAATCACCATCCTCCCCCTGAAGGAAGTGGAACAGTTGGTTGCAGAACATGAGAAAGCAGAGAAAGAGGCCGAAGCTGCACGCAAAGAGAAGGAGAAGCAGCAGAAGACATAGCAGCTCCTTTTCTCATCCGGCCATTGTGGACCTTTCTTTAATTTACTCCACTGTTTAAGAACTATATTCTAATTCCGAATCCATTAAAGTGAACTTCATAAGCAAACTGTATTTGTTGAACTCTTGAATCAGATTGAGGGCTGTTAGTTCTCTGGAAAAATTTTACAACAGGAATGCAAAGACTTCATTTTCAGTTCCTTGACTTGTTTTATCTGGGGGAATAGCCACTGGGACATTGTGTGTCATCTCTCCTCTGATCATATTCCTGTTGATTTAGATTCATGGGACTAACAATATTACTAGGCTGTGACCATTATCCTATACCTTGAGCAGTATCTCATATGAATGAGAGTATTGGGACTCACTCCCAGATTGCTCTGGATCCTCAATATCATCCAGAGCTTCAACTTTTATCCTGAGTTAATTATTTTCCATGCTGATAAAATCTCCTGAAGAAGCTTAATATTGTTTATGTTGATTATCATAATTTATTTTAATGCTGTGCAGGTATTTCAACTTTTTGTTTGCCAAATCAGAACAATGGTGATTGAATTCACAACAGCTGGCTACCAGGAGGTATTGCCTGACCAAGCCCTTATCCCATCTCGATGGCGAGAGATCTTCATTAATGTTGGAAGCTCCCGGGGCACTCTGGATGAGATTCGAGTCTCAGAGTTTGCTGGTGGGGCTGCCTACAAAGATCTCTCGCATCCAGTAATTCATAACCGTATTATGTATTGGCGTGGAAGTGGGGAGACATTGGAGTTTCTGGAAATCAGCCTCAATCTACAGCTTGAAGGGAATAGTGTCCAACTGGTGTTTCAAGGCTCGCCAGTGTTAGATGGAGTAACATTCCATGAAGCAGGATCATGTGTTGTGCTACTTGTTCCTACTGTTTCAAGCATTCACAGAATAGTCCGCCCACACCCTGTCACCTTGTCAAGACAGCTTGGGAACCTGGAGAGCCAGTGGTCTGTGCTTCATGACTTGCAAGTTGAAGCTTTGAAAGATGTGCATCATAATGCTGCATTGCATGCCTTCAGTTCATCACTTGAAGCAGGGCTAAGTCAGCCTTTACCACATGTTGCTGCATCAACTCTTACATCAGAAGGAAATGCAGTGTTTGCCTTTGGTTATCCTAGTGGACTCATCCTTGTTGTGACAATGGGGGCAGATGATGGTGCAGTAACCTGTTTAGAACTGAAAGCATCATCATTTGTTTCTCGATTTTGGACTGGATTGAAGAACACCTTCACTATGTCATCTCATTCTGCCCAAGAAGCACCCATTAGTCTCTTGTTGCATGAGGATCATTCTTCAGGAGAGCTTTTGCTCCTTGTGCTCTCCTGTGATGCCAAATTACGAATTTGGAAAGCCTTAGAAGAAGAATGCATTCTATCCATGGTCCTCCCTGGGGGTGTCCCTTCATCACTACTTGAAGGAGCAGCTCAACGTTTTCGACTTCAGGCTGTTAAGGGCACTAATGATCTCTTTGTCTCCCATTATCCCATTCAACACAAGGACTTGGTTTCCATCTTCTCTGTTAAGTCTGGTCGAACTTTCTCAGTGGAATTCAATCAACAACCTGAGCTGCCAGAGAACACTGTTGTGATTGACTCTATGTTTACTCAGGATAATGCATGGGTGCTCTGCACAGACACCAACGAGCACTTGCAACTCTATCATTGTGCACATAAATGCACCCATAATTGGGTTAGTGTCAACATTGAACCAATGATGCCATCTGCATTCCCTTATTCTCCTGGTGAGCTGGATGATCCCCAGACAACATGTCTCCTAGAGATTTTCCAATCGGGAAGAATCTCTCCACTTTCAGTGTGGAAAGCTGTTGGTATGTACCAGGACTCTGAGACCCCTCCACCCAATTGGGATGTCATATCCAATCTGGGGCACCTGCAGGCTGAAGTTGTTGATGCAGTGGAAAGAAAGGTTACTGCTCAATGCAATGGACTTGATTTGTCTGATGAGGAATTGAGCATCATTGTGTTTCAATGTTGGGCTGATTTTTACTTACTGTGTGCTCAGTATCAGTCTGTGGAAGGAACTGCCTTGGGTCTTCATGCAGAACCAAATTCCGATGTAGTGTCTATCATTCGTCGAGGCTCTGTCTCACTCGTGCGGCCCCTGGATATGCTAGAAGCTATCACAAACAGCAAAGGCAGAGATGTCTCTAAAATTGCTCAAGTGCTTCCTGGATGTGAACTGTTGCCCATGGCCTCTGCTGCTATTGGGGGAAGTTGCCTTGAGCCTGAGCTAAGTGTAGATGCAATCAAGAGCCTCAATGCTGTGATTGAAGAAAAAGCAGGAGATGTGATCAGCCTTGTGCAGAAGTTGCAGGCCTCCCTTTATGTGGAAGGTGTTGAAGACATGGACAGAGAAGAGGGAAATGGAGTTGTAATGGGATCCAAGTATGGAGTGAGCCTTCTTGTCCGCACCACTCAGCAGATTGTACAGGCGCGGTTGGAATCCTGTCGTCTGTTACATGCTGTGGCACATCATGTTGTTCACAGGCTGGCTGATCTCCATGAGACCTTTGCTGAGGATACGCCTCAACTTATGCGCACCTATGCTCTTCTTACTTGGGCAACTCAACAGGTCTCATCCATCCCAGAAAAGAGCTCAAGGGCTATACTGGAACTCTTCTTGGAGAGCATCATTCAAGATATGCCTCTGAGTGTTTCCCAAAAACTCTGGAATCAAGATTTAGGCAGCCTGCTTCATCAAATCTTCTTGCTCATAAGCCCAACTGGATCTGATTCTCTGTTTGCTGACTTCCTCTTGAAGACACAAGAGTACTTCTTCATTCAAAAATATTGTCAACAAGTGCGGGATATGGAGCTGGCTCTGCCAACATACTGGAAGATGATATTGGGCAAGGCCTTGCTGGGTATAGAGGATTTTGAACAAGCAAAGAAAGAGTTGGATCTCACCCCAGAAGAACTGGCAAGAGATCCTGAAATTGCATCAACATTGATCCGTCCTGGAGAAGAAGTTGGGCCTCAACGACTCTATGTTATGTATTGCAAGACAGTGATTCGAGATTTGGAGCGATATCAGGTCCCTGAGTTGGTGATTGAAGTGGTTAACTGGGCACGTGCTGTGGCTGCACACAATGATCCTGATGTTCCTGCTCTCCATTCACTTGCATTCAAGCATTACATGAAGCAAGAGAAATACATTGATGCCTACAGAGAGATGATGGGAAATCCTGATGCAACTCAGCGAAGTACATGCCTACAGGATCTAGTTGCCACCCTATGTTCCAGAAATGAGCTGCAATGTCTGTTGAGTTTTTCCTATGAGGGAGTTCGAAAGAAAGTGGCTGATGTATTAGAATGGCGAGCCCGCAACTGCGACCTTTCCACCAATTACTATTTGATACTTCATGCCTTCTTTGGCCTTGCAGGGGATTACCGCAGGGCAGCCATGGTTATGTATGACTATGCACAGCGACTCTCAGATGAACTCTTCTCCCTGGAGCGGTTGCAAAAACAGTTCCAGGCCTACCTTTATGCACTGAACAATCTCCATCTCTGTCCCCCAGATTATAACTTTATGGTAGGCACCTCCGAACAAGAGGATGTTAAGGTAATATCCATTTCTGATCTCCAAAAGGAATATTTGCTCATCAAGGCCAAGATACAAATCTGCAAGACCTCACCTGAAGGTCTTTCTCTTGTTGGCTCCTCATTTACACCCAAAGAAGTCATAGGCCTCCTTTTGAAGAACAGATTGTATGACGAAGCCATCAAGCTCAGTTGTGCCTTCTCATGCAGTCATGTTCCCATCATAGAAACCTTGACTACAAGATGTATTGAAGCCAGTGGACATTCCTGGAAAGTGAAAGGGGTGGAAGAAGAACGGGAAATTTGGAGATTGTTGGAAGACACTGTTCAAAAACTGGAGAAGAAAGGAGATACCACACTCCATGCAGCTGCTGTAAAGAGATTTCTGTCACTCAATGCTGTCATCCCCCGTTGGTTATATGTCTCATATTTCGAAAAGAATGCCGGTTCCTTGCTGTACTTGTACTTCCAATATGGATTCATGTGTGAAGCAACTGAGCTTGCCTGTCACATCATGGATGTAACCATAGCTAAGCCAAAGCAGAAACCTTACTCAGTGTGCCTACCCACTGTCCTCATCGACCAGCTTCATGCTGAACTTTCTTCCCATCCTGACCTTCCCCTGATTCAAGAGCTCTGCCAAACTTTAGAGGTCAAGATCACCGAGTATGAAAAGTATCTTGATGCCTGAAGGATGCATTTCCCATTAGATCTCTTGAGCTTTGTTGGAAAATGACATATTTGTGTCAACAGATGTGTTTTGTATTAACTGGCTTCATAAATGAAGTTTTCTTCTTACCAACATTCTGAAAGTTATTCTCAAATTTGAAGTGGCCCACTAACCATGTACATGCCCAACCATTAGAGTTCCATTTGAATTTATTCAAAAGCAGTGCATATTACCATCCTTGTTCAGTATTGGTTTGATTGTTAGGTTGAGAGCAAAGGCATTGCCTCATCCTATTATTATAGAAACATGGCTGTAACACAAGCAGATAGGGGAGAAGTGGTATTGTCTCTTTTGGATAGAAGTCTTAATTTATTGATAATCACCCCCTGAGTTGTGATAGTTAATGAGGTCATTAGCCCTTTCACCATGGCTCCCAAGTATACTCGTTTCCACCATTGCTCTCAGTTGTGGTCTCAAATATAACTCAGTGGTGAAAGGGTTAAGTTGCTGCTGTAGTTGAAGAGTGTATAAGGGAGGATCTGTTGAACTGAAGGTAAATCCAGGCCCTGAAAAAAACCAGAGACTGGGATTGATATGCTATTGATGACCTCTTATTCATCATGGGCAAAAATCTCCACTCTTATGATCTGATGAGGTTGCAGATTGTGAAGGTCTTAAAGTGGGTTCTATATTCAACATGGGGTTTCATTGCATAAGGTGATTACAACTATTTTATCTCTAAGAACTCTTTGTCAATCCATTCCATCAAAATATCCTAGTATATTCTGAAATCCATTCTTTCACAATAATTTACCATGTTATTGGACTCAGCTTCATCAGTCAAGAGTAATCTGATATTCATACATAAGCATGCTATAATCTTCTGCCATGAAAATTTTTATGCTAGGATGATATTGCTTACGGACTGCAATCCTTCCATTGAGCTTCATTGGTACTTCTGTAGGGTTGAAACTTGAATTTCAAGTCTGTCATCTCTGTACTAGCCCACATGCAAGATGGCATCTCATTGAGTAGAGGTAGCCTGGCTAGGTGTGGGTCCTCCTTTCAGAGGGCTGAATAATTAGAATTGTGAGTGATTTTTTTCCTGCATGCATTGCCTTCATTATATTGCTATCTGATGCCTGATTATTTTTCAGATTTATTTTACCATGATAATATCTGATGTTTCTTGACATGATATGGCATGGTTGTGCTCTGAACCTATCAGGTTTCAAATGTCTCAAATTACAGACTATTTCAAGCCATTGAAAAGAATAGAGTCAGCATCAAAAATGGCACATGAGGGTAGGGATTCTGGATGGAGCTCTGATGAAGACTTTGAATTTGACCAACCCCGGGTAAAACGACCTAAATCATCGAGAAAGGAAGAAATTTTTCCAGGACAGAGTCAAACGTGTACTCACTACAACTTAAGGAAGGTTGGGGCAAGGATTAGTGGAGGTATGAAGGAGAAAGACAAGGAGAACTCATTGACTGCATTGCATGAACCTCATTCCAGCACACATACTCCATCCAAAGATACCAGCAAGGAATCAAGCTTGAGCAAAATGGAGAGGATGCCTCTTAGTTCCTCAGGCACACCTCACACAGAAGTAGACCATGAGCTTGCTGGCAGTTCTTCACAAGAGATAATCCAGACCCCCAGAGCAAAAATGAGTTTGTCATGTCCTGGAATGCAATTGAGTTTGACTCCATGTCAAGCTTCAACATCAAAAGATGACAATCCCCTGGAGTTGGAACTTTCTCCTAGGCTTCAATACAATTCCAGTCGTTATGGGCACTTGCATAGCAAGAAAATTTCGCCTAAGTTTCGATTCCACCCTTCACAATTGAGCAAGTCAGCTGAAAGCATAAAGTTTGTTGTGAACAAGCAGAATCCACTGCTGTCGATTCGACGGGTTCGGAGGAGTCTCAGCTTTGGTCACAGCCAGCCCAATCACTCCAACTTAATTCAATATGTTTTGCCTGATACATTAAGCTCTTCTCCATATTATGTGAGGAATTTTGGCCTGGTCATCTTGGAGGTCACAAGCAATTATTCTTACTTGCTCAATGAGGAAGACTGTCACATCATGACCAACTTCCTCACTGCCTCAACTGAAGCAAGACGACTGTATGTGAGGCTTTTCTTGCGGAAATTTGCATGGCATCGCTTGGGGAAGGTCATATATGAAGATATTGCTGCTGACCTCACGCCCTTCTTCAAAGAGCTTGCTGAGAGACAGCTACTAATTGAAGGTAACTTGAACCAGATGTATCAGCTGCTTCATTTTCATGACAGTGCAGACTCATTTGAAGGTCTTGGTTGGCTCTGATTCCACAGGGCCAGTTGTAGAAGGTGAATCCCTTGAGGACTGCTTGCAAACATTGTCAAGCATTGAGTTAAAAGCTCTTGCTGGGGACCTGAAGTTGAAGGCACAAGGAAAGCGAGAGGTTCTTATCAAGTCCCTGATAGATCATTGCAGCAAGCAAAGGACTCTTTTCCCTGGGATCACATCTATGAGAGATATACTTCGAAAAAAGTACGAGCTGCCTCACTTCACATTATTTCACTTCTTTAATGTCTCCATACCACAATCCCTGGGAGTTCTTGGAATAGGAAGCAATACAGTTAGTAGAGCTTTGGAAGGGCTTGTGTGGCAGTGATTATTCTCCATAGGATTGTCACAATGAATAAATTTCACAATCAATTGATGGTTTATTTATGCATAACAATATTGAGAGTAAAAATGCCTGAAAGCAAAAACAAGTGAGATGTGTGTAATGTGTCAGTGATAATGAAACCCCCACAGTGCCCAAACTGAGAAAGCAGAGGGATGAAAACAATGAGATGGAAGCCATTCAAGTTGCTATAGTTTATTTTCTTTTTTTTATTATTTACTTATACCCTGATGCTGGTATCCAAGGCCTTGCATGAGACTGTTGGATAGAATAGATAATGCATTGTTCAGGGTTGCATGTTTGTCTACATGTCCTCTTTCAAAGCAATTTCTGTTCTTCCTCATCACCATTATCCACCATTTATCAATGATCACTTACAGGGAGTTCCCAAAGTCCCTGTCTATTTCTGTTTCAATCATATTCTTGAAAATTCATATAGGCCTTCAAGGTTAGAAAACAAATATTTTTCATCCCTTGAGTCAATATGGAGGTTAAATGGGAAGTCCTTTGTCAGGGTTCATTATTTGCTTGAATGCATATTGCATGAACCACTTTGTATATCTCCTACAGTACCAATTTTGCAGTCATTACAGGGTGGTGCAAAAGTCGCTCACCATAGAGGATTTCACTGTTTCACTATATTAATTCTTGTCTCTTCATTTGAAAGTTACTGGTGACAGCAAAATTAACAAAAGATGAGAGGGTGGCATTAAGATATGTTCAAACATTATGTGTACAATGAATCAAAGTGTTTTCAAGTTAATGGCAAACGATTACCCTATGGTGCCTGACTTTTGTGCCACCCTGTACATTGCTATCTGAACAATTAGTACCTGTAGCAATGGCACTGGTTGGGAAGAAAATAGACTATCTCCTGATCTCACTCCTCTAGACTTTTTAGCTTCAAGTTTTTTGAGTAGTCCAACCTTGGTAAACAACATTCAGGTACAGAGGAACTTCATCTTGAATGTTGTTAATTACATTAATCCACAAATGCTCTGCGATGACTAATGTAGCATGAAAGAGAGACATGTGAAGCATGCATTGACATTGATAGTGTATACATAGAAATTTAACAATACAAGGGGTTATTTATTGTAGTATGTATATTTGTGCATTTGTAAGGTTGATTGCTGTGCATGTGCCAGGTCAGGAATATGCCTATTTAGGTTTTCTCCTTGCCATATGTAAAGACCGAATTTCCATAGGTAAAAAATGGGTTGATTTCACTGTGCACCTCATAGCATCTGTCCAAAAAACGACAGAGATATGCCAAAGCTAACTCAGCAAGAAAGGGATCTGGCAGTGAAAATACTTCAAGAGGGTGTAATGCAACAGGTGTTGGACCCTCTTGGAACAAAATTGCAGTAAACATGACCTTCAGGGATGTAACTATTCTCAAGGTCAAGCATTCTGCAAGTTTTGATGAATGAACCTGCTATAGACCACACAAGCATGTCCAAATTGTTGTGGGACTTCCTGTTGCATTACATCCTCTTGAGGCATTTTAATTGCCTGGTCCCTTTGTTGCTGTGTTGGCCATGACATATCTCTTCTTTTTTTTTTTGGAGACAGTATGACATGCACAGTGGAATCTACCCATATTTTACCTATGGAAATCTGGACTTTACATATTGCATGGAGAAAACCTAAATAGGCATGTTCCTGATGTGGCACATTTACAGCACTCAAAGATTGATGAGTACACACTAATAATGTTCAGGCAGTGTTGACTTGTTCAGCAAGAGTCAGATACAGGGTGTTCAAAAAGTCACTGTGCAATATAATTAATTTGTTTTGTTGCATGTATTAAGTATTGTATTGTGTATCACATGTATTGCATCATCAAAGACATGAATTTCCACTCAATACTTCATCAAATATTAGCACCATCCCTAATTTGCATAATTTACTGTCTGTAATTCCTAGTTACAGTGAGGCCTCCTACATCATGTTGTGAATTCTACTGCACAGTGATTTTTTGAACACCCTGTATAATGCCATCACAACTCCTATTTCATGGACAAACCCTACATTACATATATCTGAAATGTTACCTGGACCATAGGGATCATAGGGACAGATTTTTCAAAGTGCTACAATTCAAATATCAAAACCATGAAGTTGGGCAGGAAATGTATTACTTAGTGGTGTTATTTTTGCACCCAAAGCCTCCAACTGATGTATTTATGAAAGGAAATTTCATTTTGACAGAACCAGTGTTTGAAATGGGCTAAATGCAGTTTCTTCCAATAATTCAAAGGATGCCTAAGCTACTTTTTACTTGTCAGGCAGGGATGAAGCACCCACCCTTCCAGTCAGCAGTGACCATGCATCCTGTGTAGGTGAAAAAGTGACAGGCACTGAGTTTTCTCCCCTGCCGGCAGCTAATAACTGGTTTCCCACCACATCAACGTTGGATTTCCCCTGGGAAACTTGAGTCCTCTACCCTTTGGCATCCTCTTGAACAGAAAATGAGGTCATATGCTATTTGAACTTATAGATACCCATGGGTAAATTGACTGAAGCAGACTTAGAAAGGAAAATGATGCCTGGAGACTGAGAAAATTTTTCCATGACTTAGCTCTGCCACTTTTCGCCCAAGGCTACAGTTGTTTTCTTCACAATTTTTAGTACTTGTCTAAAAATTACTTTCTGGGGGCTTGTCTTTGTCTTTAGGAATGTTTTGTCATGGAAAACACAGACTTAATGAAGAAGTCCAAGAAAATTGTAGAACCTTCTGCTACCCCAATCAACACAGATATTGAAGCACTATCACAGGTAATATAAAACTCTTCTAATCTGTAACTGAAAAAGTCTGTGTCCCTATGAAATCTTCAGTACTTAAGATGCTTGTGCGGAAATTTATATTAAAATGTAATTGAATAAGCCTTAATTACATTTCTCCTATTGATACTTAAGAATGTATTTATGTACTTCTGATTAAGGAAATGCTTCCAATCAAGTATCTGATTGGAAAGAAAGTTCTCGGAATTTCATGAACAATTATTACAACCCAGTTTATTTAAAAGCAAAATCATCTCAATCATGAATATAATCACCATTGGCCTCTATCACTTCACACCAACGTTTATGCAAACTATGGATTCCATTCCAATAGAACTCTGGCGGCTGTGCTGCGAAAAATTTGGCCAAATCGGTTTTCAGGTCGTCTCGGTTGGCGTACTGCTTTCCACCCATGTGACGGTCCAGGGCAACGAAAAGGTGATAATCGGACGGGGCAAGGTCGGGGCTGTAGGGCGGATGCGGCAGCACCTCCCAGCACAGGTCCAGTAACTTTAGATGAGTCTGTCTAGCGGTGTGCGGCCGGGCATCGTCGTGGAGGAGGATGGTTCTCTGTCTTTCTGGGCGTGTTTCAGCCAGTTTCTGCTGCAGCCGATCGAGTTGCTGGCAGTAGTAGGCAGCAGTGATGGTGGTGTTTTGCGGCAACAGCTCAAACATGATGATGCCTTTCGAATCCCAGAAGACCGAGAGCATAATCTTTTTGGGGTGCAACTCCTGACGGGGTTCTCTTTCGGCCGATGCTCCGGCGTCCACCCACTGACGTTTTCGTCGAATGTTGGCATAGAAGGTCCACTTTTCGTCGCCTGTCACCACTGAGTCTAGCCAATCCGTTCGGCGCGAACGTGACAGAAGGGAGATGGCCATGTCTACTCGTCGCTGGCGGTCCCGATCATCCAGCTTGTGGGGTACCCAGCACCCCAACTTTGCCTTCTTGCCAAGCTCAGCCAGATGATGAAGGATTGTTGTATGGGAGACACCCAGCAAGTCCGCAAGCTCTCGCGATGTTTGCCGGTTGTTGGCCTCCAGTGCCTCCTGCAAGGCAGAGTTATCAAACTCCGAAGGACGACTGGTGCGTGGCTGGTCTTCCAGGCTTTCATTTCCTTTCTGGAAGCGACTGTACCAATCATAGGCAGTGCTCTTGGACGCAGTGTCCAGGCCAAACGCGGTATTGATGTCAGCGATGGAATTGGCTGCCTTCTTCTTGATTCGGAAGTCATAAAGAAGACGCAGGCGAACTTGCTCCTTAGTAAGAGGGTAGGGCTGGTTCATGGCTGAAGAGCACCAGGGCTGTAATAATATACGGTTGTATGCCGAAGGACACGACCTACGTATAAACACACGCAGAACATTCTAGCATGCTCTGGAAAAAAATTGTACTGGATATTCAAGAAATTCCGAGAACTTTCTTTCCAATCAGATAATTGAACAACTAGTGATAGTTTCAAATACAGTTCCCAGCATTTTCTTAGTCATGGAGAGATTGTTGCCAACATGAAATTGCATGTACCCTTACACCATTACAGCTCACATTGTTAAGTTATTGCCCAGTCACTTTGTCTCTCCAAAGAGAAAATTTACCCTTACTAGTGTAGTTTTCTAGCACAGTAGATCTTTTGATGTATTTCGGTGCCATTCATATAAAAACTCAAATTTTGTGCTGAAATGTTGCAGCTCAAGATTGTGTCAAAAATGATAATGACACAATCCCTCCCTTCTCTTTCCCAGCTGATTTCCATTGGGAACTCCAGTACTCTGTTCCTTCATTTGCATTTCTTCCAATTGCTTTCACTTTTATCTTCAAGCCAGTGCTTTGGTGTGCAGTGATCTGTATTTGTTATGAGATATGGCAACAACCAAATGGTCTTGTGACACTTTGTCCACAATGATCTACCATTTTGACCACAATAAAAGTGCCGGTCATGTCATATACAGCTTGTCCACAAAGTTGCTATCTATTCCCACAAAGTTGTCTATCCTGCTGTATTTGAGCTGAATAAACTGATAATGGCTGGTAACTTTGGTATGATAGGTTCTTAATATCATAGTTGTTTGGTTACTTCAATAATTCTTATATAGGTATGGAAAAAGATAAAAGAAAATCATTCAGTAATTACTTTATTATTCCTTTCAAGTAATAGTGCCCTGTGGAATAAAATGAACATCCCTGACTGTGAATGAACTTAAATTGACTAATCTGTGATACAATTAAAATCCAAAGGACTATGTATTTTGCATACAGTCAATGGATATGCTCCTGGGTACTAATATATGTGGTCCTTTGGATTGCAATTGTATCTGAGCCTTTTAAACTAAAGTCTATTCACTATCAAGAGTGTTCATTTTGTTCTGGCAGGGTACTGTACAACTTTAAAATGTAGTTGAAAGAGTGAATCAAAGGGATTTTGTGGATGATGGTTTTTGGGGTGTACTTGTGGCACGGAGAGTTAGGACATTTCAAGAAGGAGCTTCTATGCTGCTCTGCAATTTACACTGAAATCAACTTTCTTGAAACGGTCTGTTGCTGACCCATAAATTGCTGATTTTCTTATATTCCTTCTTTTTTTTCACCTGTGTCACAAGTTTTTATTATTATTCTGTTTTAGAAAGAAACTATCATGCCTTAGTCATATGCAGTAGATTCTTACTTCAAATACTTTATGATTGACAGATTTAAAAAATTACATTATAATATACAGACACCCTTTAATGTTCCACATGTGTTTTTTTCTCACAACTGCCAATATTGCTGAATTTTTCTGTGATACCTGATTTCACTTGTCATCAGGGTGAAGAAATTGGCTGGTTTGTGTTTCCGACTGCATCGAGAACCACTGGAGCTGTTTTCCCGCATCCTCATGATTTATGCCCCCCAGATGCTTTATGAAGAAAATGAAAGGAAGGGCCAACACTCCCAGCTCACTTCCCTCCTCCTTTCTAACATGGGAAGAATCAACTTCCCTACCTACCCTGTAACTACAACGAGGCAGCTATATCTTGATCGCCAGGACTCCATCTTGTTAGCCAAACTATTTTGTTCTGATGAGAGAGGAATTCACATTTCATGCTGTCACTGAGTGTTTCACTTTTGCCTCATTTTTTGTAATTTTTTTTCCCTTTTTTAGTTACTATGAGGCACAGAAGTTGTGCTCAGCACTGCAGGTGTTAGTGGAGAAAAAGGAGTGGACAGAAGCACTTGAATTGTGTCAGCAAGCTGAACTTAAACTGGATGTGTATCAATCTAATAAGTTGTACAAGATGCATGTTCTTTATCTGCCTGCATTCCTTCGGAAGTTGACTGCCCCTTCCATGTTATGTTATGCCCTCTCCATTCAGGTTTGTCGGATTATATTTCTTTGACATGAATTCTTCAAAGGATATTTCATATTTTCCTTGTGTTTAATTTGTTAAATGTAAAAGGTGGAGGTCCTCGAGAAATTGCGTCAATATGATGAAGCAGTAGCACTGCTAGGTAGACTGCTGAATCAGAAAAACTTCCTCCAGGACTCCCGAGCTCGATGGTATGATCGTCTGGCCCTCAACCTTCATCAGCATCTCAAAAAACCTCATCTGGTAAGGTTCTGTATAATCTAGTACAAATTTATGTATTTCGTGCATATAGGTGTGATCCAGACCAAGGATGATTTTGGCCTCATCTAGGTACTATATCAACCCTGCTTTAAACTTATTTAATAAAATAGTCTTTGTAGTTTTCCACCTCAAGATACTCATTGAGATACTCAGACCCATTGCAGTCTTCAGATCCTCTGTCAAATTATGATTTGGGAAGTAATGTCAACTCTTGTTATGCACTCCCTTTTTATTGTGGCACCCTTGCCTATTGCATACATCTACCTAAGGATAATACTTCCCCTAAGTCAGTGACAGGAATTTTGAGAAATTTAATATAGTGGAGGGGTACCTGAAGTTAACACGTTGGCGACAATGCGTCCTGATGCCAGGATGCAGATTTTTTTTCAATGAATACCCTCTGGAACTGTTGAAAACATTCCAGAAGATTATGATTTCGTAATTACTGATAAAAATTCAAAAAAAGTCAAAATTAAAAAAAAACTCGGCAAAAAAAAATGTTTTCTGGGACCATGCGTCCTGATGGCAGGACGCATTATTTGACAAAAAAAATGCACGTGGTCCCACGCGGCGGACAAGCAAAAATAGGCCTTTTGTCAACGTGTTAATGCACACTTAGCCTCTTTGTGTGCTGCATGTGGCCTGTGGGCTGCACTGTGGGTCCCCCTGATATAGTGCAAAGGTTGGCAATGATCATCAGTGGCATTTTATCAAGAGTTGACTGTGGTCATGATGTAGATGGTGTCTCCTGACTGCTTATGCTATTTTTTTAAATTGTTCAGTATGAATAAATGTGTATTCATGGGGATTTTGCTTAGGCATTGGAGGTGATTAGAGAGGGAATGAGAGATGCAGAGGTACGAGGAGGACATCGGCTGTCATTGAGTGAAAGGGCTGAGCGCATCCTTGCAATGTTGAACAGGGAAAAGAGGAAAAAGAAAAAGAGTAAGACAGAAGGAGAGGAAGAGGAGGATGAAGAGGAGGGGATGAAATGGGATGGTCCTTCTTTCATGTGTCCAAAGACTGCTCCTCTTGTCCTCATCACTGGCAGATCCTTGCCTAGGGACATACCTGGAATGAAGCGTGTGAGTCCTCCCAGATCCATCTTACCTTTCAAGACTGTTTAAATTTAGCCAATTTAACTCCAATGGGCCTGGATGCAGGAGACAGATTCATTGTTGAAGATTTTGTTGTATTTTTTTTCTCAAAACCTTTCAGGACAATATTGTTTGAGACCAGGCAATTTCCTATGATCCAAAGTCTGCCTACACTCTAAAAATAAACAATGTCAACAGTAAGGTTATAATTACGATTGGAAATGTTCATGTTTTATGAGTTTTAGTTGTCGAAATGAAGAAATATTTCAAAGGGCAGGAGGGAGTGATTGATAAAACAAAAATAAACACTAGGAAAGTAGGCTTCAGGACCTAGGTGGACATACCTGAGCTTCAGAATTTCAGATTTTTATTATTGCTGAAATAATCTAATTCCTTTCCCTCTTATTTATCTTATTGGCTTCATCACCCAATGATGGCTTCATCATCTTGAAAAGAGACTTGAAAATTTGGCACTGCTTGGGCCATGCCATGAAATTATCAACCTCATGGTCACTTATGAACTTTGCACCAAGTCTAGAAATATGGTGGCATTGAAAAGCTACAAGCATGGAGAATATAAATGCCAGTTGAGATTACTTTGAAGGCTTTTTATACTAAAAGGGTAGGGATGCACCGATACCAAGTGGATCGGTATCGGCCGATACCTTTATGGCCAATCCGATCCAATTCTCCCTCGCCGCACACCGTGCTTAATGCGCAGCGCGTAACTTTTTGGAACGTCTCATGAAAAAAACCACACTCATAATAGGATTTGGTTCCTTATGTCCGTCATGGTTCTTTTTAAATCTCCAACTGGTAGACAATGAGCTTGAGCATGGTTAAAGTGGAATGCGAGAGATCTGAGAAGGGCATTGTACAAATGGAATGGGCCAGCGTTATTCACGTATGCATTCATTCCTTCACTTTCCCCCCTTCTGTCCCGTCTCTTGCCTTCCTGCTCTGACTGGTTCGCGCAGGAGCACTTTGTGCTCACGTCCATCCCGCCTCCGGCTCTCCCCTCGAGCACCGATCCTGGTTGTACAGTAGTTGCATTAACTCCTTAATCCCTTAAGGACATTATATGTAGTTCCTACCTGTACTCCTCTTTGCACCGATCGTCCTTTGTGCATAGTACTTATGTCTGACGTATTCTCGGCGGGCCTCGTGAATGGCGGGGGGAAGTTTTGGCCTATACTCAAGAACCAAATATATTGCCGACGTAAATGTCTCCAAAGCTAAATAAATGACAGGAACATTGAATGCTAGGTCATTAGTGTCCGAGGATTTTTTATTTCCTCCCTTCTATGCCAAAGGTAGCATAAGACCTACAAAGGTCTTGTCCTATATTGTGGTTTCATTTCTGACAGCCACTGGGAGCTATCTGGATCGGTATCGGTATCAGCCAATCCTGGATTGGTGCATCCCTATAAAAGGGTGCAATTTATTGGGCAGTGAAATTGAATTGGATTAAATTCCATTTAAACAATTCACTATTGGACTATATTTCTATCATTTTCCTTGCAGCCCAGCAAGGAAGTACTCCTCATACAACCAGTGTAAATTTCACATATGTGATATTGGCCCATCTGAAAGAACACACTTATCTGTCTTAGAAACTTGCAGCTGCATATGTCTGTGTCAAGTTGTGTCATGCTCTATTGCAATTTTTGGTATGGAACTGGTTTTTTTGTTGATTTCCATCACTAAAAGGTGTAAAATAAATGACAGTTCCACCATACTTATGATTGAGATCAAAGATTTCAGAAAATAACTGAAGGTAAAGAAGTACTGTGCCTGACCACAAAGCTTTCATATTGCAAAATGTAGCTTCAACACAGGAGCCTTGATGTTATAGATGCAAAAAAACTCAATATCTGGGAAAATGCTTCAGTCTCAGGTAGTAGCTGTGAAAGGATGTCTGAAAGGCATTCCAATGCTTCACTTTTGCACTGGCACCAGTATTATTTCCTCATAAGTGGCAAACACAGGATATTGCACAATTCAGAGTCATGGCATCTAAAGTAGATTTCTGGGCCAAGGCTAGTATCTTTCCTCTGATCTTTTCTTTGCTTATTTTAGGCCATTTAGAATTTCATAATTTAAATCTCTCAAATATAACATCTGAAGGTGTATGTGATGGATGGTGCTGAAGAAGGCTCCAAGATAGCATGCTCTGTTGAGGAACTGGTGATTGGTCATTATGAGAAGAATGGATTCCCAAATGGAATTCATGGAGAGGGCTCCACATTTCACGCCATCTTTGGCATGTTCTTCTGGGACATCATCTATAGTGCTGTACCTGATGCCTTCATCAATAAGCATCAAATCCTTCCCTTGGATCTCAACTCTCCATTCTTCTATGCTAGGTTTGGTTCCCTTTGAAATCCTTGCTTGAAGTTGGAGTAGATCACCTTGCACCAGTTTATTGTTATTGTGGATGCTGATACAATATCTTTTGCTTTGGCAAGATTTGGATATCAGCTTTGTTTTAAGAAATCTGTGAGTGACAAGAATCTGCAGAAGGAAGCAGTCATAACTATCTTACTATGGAAATTGTGGTTCTTAAGTTTAATTGTGTTAAGCAGAATTGTAGAATTTTATTTGTGCAGGAAAGTAACTCTACAATTGTTTAATAGCACTGGTGAAATTGAATGACAGACCTGCACATTTTTTAATTTTGAAAAGTCAAAATGCTAATAATCCTGAATATTATTTTGTAGTCGGAAGCAGGCAGTAGACGAGAGGCTAAAATATATCTGTGATATGAGTGAAGAAGCCTTGCTGTCCTTTGTTGGTGTAATATGGGAAGAACATCATGGACAGGATTCTCTCATCAGCTGGGACCGTTTCTCTTCTCTCCAGCACTTCCAGGCTAGTTATTGCCTCCATTACAAAATATAAAGGAAAGTTTTCTCACTTGCAGCACATGATGACCAAGACTTCTATTTCAGTCTCTAGTGAAATGCCTAAATGGGTGTCTCATTGCCAGCATATGTGAGCGATTCATCAAGGATTTTCGCTTCACTCGCAGTGGACTTCCGGACCTGTTCCTGTGGAACCCTGAGACCAAGGCAAGAATGACCCTGAGGAAATTCATGTAAATAAAGTTTAAATCTCATGTCCAATGGTAGTGATTTTGTTTTTCCCCGGGGATAGGATCATCGAATGGTGGAAGTGAAGGGTCCTGGTGATAGGCTCTCTCCAAAGCAGATTCTCTGGCTTGACTTCCTCCTTGGTATTGGTGCTAATGCTGAAGTCTGCCATGTAAAAGGTCAGATGAAGTTCTCTTCATGATTAATTTTGTCTTTGTCATGAATTAAGCAGTGTATATTTTTTTATGTTTTGCAGTGGTAGGGGAAAAGCTACAATGAGATCATGCATCTCCTGTGTGTGCATGTATTTCAGCTTTAATGTCAACTTCCACAGCTTTTTTTGTTATACCGGTTTTGTGAAGCCTTCCGTGGAATTTTCTATTCATTTTTCTGGTATTTTCTCTTTTTTTATTCAGATGGACAAGGGATGTTGTTTCTCTTAAGATCATCATGGCACCCTGCATGCAATAAATGGAGAGTTTCAATTTTTGAAGTGCTCTATATGTATTAATTTCATGTGAGATGGATGCAACGTCAAGATCTGTAAGCAGGACTTCAGTTGGAAAGTCTGGCTCAGTGGTAGCCTGGAAAGCAAGTGAAGCAAGTTCTTGTGAAACAAGTGCTCTTGAAAATGGATCCACTTTTGATTTTGTTTTCAGATGTGCAATATTTAATGCTGGAATTCCAAATTGCTCTTTATGGTGACAAATCACTTTATTATATTGGATGTATTGATAAGTGATACTAGTCCTAATCCTAATCATTTGACTATGATGTGGAATGATTAGGAAGGTGTAGGTGAGAAAAGCCTATTCCTGTTTCTGGAGGTTACAAAAACTATTGGTCATGGTTGAGACCTTACTGATGATACTCTCTGTAGAGTCTTGATTGTCTGTGGTGCTTGTACACTGCAGATAGGGTTGGGGGCATTTCACAGAAAATCGTTTCACAGATGAAACCTGTTCACCAAATGACATTTCCTGGAAATGGTACAGTTTTGCAGAACAAAATAAAAAGTATATGCCTGTTGTGAGAATAAAAGCTGGCACTAGGAAGCCTTTTCATCATAAACCTTTGCCAAAAACAGCTTTTAAAATCTATCTAGGCAATGGGAGTTCATTGGACTCCTGAGGGTATATTTCATTGCATTACTTTATGGAAAGTTTGTCAATATTTTCTACAAATGTAGTGTGTCTTTCATAGACAGTTGTCCATAGATCCAAAAACGAATTTGTTTTGATTTGCTTTTTGGGAAAAAATTCTTCAAATTTTTGTCATTGTGTCACAAAAATACTGAGCCTGGATAAGGGTTAAAAGCCAAGTGAACTTGATGGCAAAACTGACCTAGGTCTGTATCTAAAGTTTCAAGTTGTGGGTGATTCCTCAGAAAAAGTCATTCAGATCCTTGCCGTGAAAATCCTGAGTAACTGTCAGGATCCATCTGTCTTGTTCTACATCCTTGGGTTTGTGCTGTGAAACTATACTTGGCACTGAGCTGCTCATTCAGATTAGCTCCTTTGTAGTGTCAATTTAATCATCTCTCGCACTCGCGTTCTTGTTGCTATACAATGTTACCAATTGCTTGGTGGCAAGTCATGGTGCAAATACAATGAATATAGTCACATGCAAACCTTAAGAAATATGTGCTAACATTTCATACTGCAACCCAGTGAGAATGCATTAGAGAACTACTGAAAATGATTAAAAGTTTGCTCACTTGTGTGGTGGACCCAGGGACTCAAACAGTAATGGGTACTTATAGAACCTGTGAATATATACAAATGAAATATTGCAGAAACATCATGAGGGATCCAAACAGAATGTGACAGTAAAAAATGAAAAATTTGAGTACTCAAATTTTTGCACTTCAGCTGGCCTGCCCCTCCCCTCCCTTAAGTGACAAAGATATGTTTTTACCCATGCAGAATGCCAGGAAAGGGAAGTGAGCAAATGTTTCAGCAAATAAACAGAGAAATGAAGCATGCTGTGGAAGGGAGTGAAAGGGATCTTCTGGTAGGACTGCTATGGGGTGCATTGAGACTGGAAATGGTGGGATTCTTATGATGAAAGATATTATTTCCTGCTTGGCAATAATAATGACCAGCATCATCTTCATGTTACCATGTTGGCAGGTTTCGGATACTTAGTTCATTGTTGGGAATACTTAGAGTTACTGTATCCATAAGAAGGAATTGTTTTAATTCACTTTGCTTCTTAATGACTGCAAAAAAAATTTTCTTGAGGTTCCCCCTTTATATGAGCCATGATAATGAGATTTCTTTGTTGGAAAAATTTTATTCATGTAGGTGAGTACCTGAATGGTGTCAGCAACAAAGAGTTTAAGAACACTTGAAAGTATTGTGTGAGTGTTTCAGTTTTGATTAATTTTGAGAGTAAATATTCAAACAAAAAATTAAGTGTGTGAAAAAATTTATTTTGGGGCCTTGGCAGGACTTTTAATTCATTGGGGTAAGTGTTGGATAAATAAGTGATTCATATCATCAATGACTGTAATTATGTAGCAAATATCACTGTGAATGGAACTTGTGAGTGGCAGCAGTTTCCTTCAAAATTTTTCTAATTTTTTGCTTGAAATTAGTCATTTTGTGTATTTCCAGTTGAGAAGCAAAGTCAATGGACTTGATTTTGATCAAATTTTAAGGTTCCAACCACACTTATAATTATTATCATCTTTTTGATTGGGCTGCATTCATCCTTTTTTTTTCTTCTGTATTCATGCAGGTATCATTGCATTTGGTGCTGTTTAACCCCTGCGTATCTGTGTATGAATCAGGAATGTTTGAATGTCTCAAAAAGAGGAGTGGTCAGATGATGATGACTTTGTCTGCACTAAGCTGATGAGTCCCTTGCTCTCCTCATCAGGCAAGACCTCTGCATCTGAGGTGCCTGCTTCTTGTCCTCTCTCTGACTTCACTAAAAGGAACTCAGGGTCAGATGGGAGAAGTGGGAAGACCTCCTACTGGAGGGGAAAAATTCACCCAGGTTTCCCTTCATTTCCCTGTCACCCCTCCCAAAATCTCCACTCTAATCAAAAGAGTGATCCATACTACTACAGGAAAAGAGATGAATCTTCTCATTGGCAGAGAAAGGAAAGAAGTCATCACACTGAAACTCGACTTTCTGCCAGCTACCTTTCCCAACCATCCACTTGCATTTCTAGTCAAGGTACCAAAGCATTTCTGAGCAGAAGGAAAATTGGAGCATGTAACCAAATGGGCCAGTCACCTTACACTTGTTTAAATGGAGTGAATCCAAATGAACAGATCATGGAGTGGACTGATGCTCATTCTAGTCATCCATTAAACTTCCATTCATCTGAGATGGGTGAATGTGCATATCATCATGGAAACAAGGACTTCAACAATGTGTACACTGAGCCATTGGTTCTGCATTTGAATCAGTTACAGACATCTGGCATGGCGAATTCACATCTGAGAAATGAACACTTTAAGAAAGGAATGAGTCAAAATTTTGAATTAAGTCAACATAATCAGACTTCAGAAAGACTCCTGAGGAAATCTAAACTAGATTTCCCTCACTTACCCCAAAGTCAAAGAAAAAGGCCAGCTAACTGTCCCAATCAGCTCCACTCAAATAAGAGCAACAGGGCAGCCAGCAGTAGTGACAGATGCATGAAGAAACCAAAGATGGTTGAAGGAAACAGATATGAACAGGACTGCACTTTGTCCAGGCAATCACAATCATCATCTGGAATGAATGAATCACAGGATCAGTCCCTCAGTCATCCTTCCAATATTAGCAATGGCCACTTCAGTGGAATCATAACCGATGGGATGGTGTCTTTCATATCCAATGACACAAAGAACTTGACTACAATAAAAAACCATTCCTTTGCCAAAGTTCCCACAAGAAATTGCGAATCTGCTGGCAGAACATCTTCCCCCATTTTGGACTCTGTCCATTTCAAGGACAGTCCATCAAACACATTGACGAGGAACATGAAGAGCGTCTCTTCACACAACTGGAAGACTCGTGAGAATTGTCACCCTACATCCATCAGCAGTTCTTTAATTACAAAGACACATGGTCAGCCCACCAGATTGAAGAAGCATCATTCCACCAAACTCACCAAAGGGGATTCTGCCAACCCTGCCTATACCCTCTCCAGTTCCTCTGCTAAGCCCAATGGAGTGGCTTCCTTCCCCTCAACCTCTCTTGGTGCTAATGACTATCCATCAAATGCAACATTGATGAGCTCCAAGGATAGTGAAACTTTTAGCAGAAAAACCAATGAAAACTCAACAGCATCTATGTCTAGCCGAAACAGGCCAGTTGCCAGCACTGAGTGCAGTGACAAGCCTTCCACCATAATGAAAGGAAGGTCAGCCCCTGTCAAGCCATCCTCCAGGAATATCACTACAAAATTATCTCCTGCATCTAACTCCTCAAAGTCAAGAAGCATTTCATCTTGGGTTCTGCCCTTGAATAAGAGGACTTGTTGTTCCTCTTTAAATAGTGTCAACTTTCACTCTACCAAGAAGGATTCATTTTTCAGAAAAAGCAGTGTGCACTCTTCCCTTAACTCCAGCTTAACCCATACCATCAACCGTAATGCCTTGAAGACATACTCTAGGAGTGTCACTTCTAATAGCAGGAAGACTTTTGATATATCTCCAACCATTTCCAGAGAAAGTGCTTTGATTTCCAACCCTGAGTTCTGTGAGAAACCTCTCTCAGTTCTTGCCAAAAGGAAATATGGCAGCTCTGCTAGAAGTAAAAAAGAAATTGCCAAGAATGACAGTAACTTTTCTGCTGCCTCTGCCGGGAATCCAATATCCTGCATACCAGTCTCAGACTCAATCAGCACTACACCCTGGCTATTAAATCCTACATTGACCAACAGTGGATCTTCTGCTGCCAGCAAAATAGATGAGAAATCTTTGGCTAAATCCATAGAGAGCACTTCCATCCCCACCACTAAGACAACCTTCAGGCTGAATGAAAAGCCTTCTACCATCTCCACTAGGCAGAAATCTTCCAGGTCTAATAACCCTTGGTCTGAGGGTGCTTCAACCATCAGCAAAAAAATAGCCATGACAAAGGGTTCCATATTCTCCATCAATAATTTTTCAGGTCTGAATGAGCACCTCACTGGCATCTATAGAACTTGTGTTACTCATACTAAAAGCCAGCCTTGCAAGAGCACAGGAGTTTTGCAGTCTGCAATAGTGAACACCCCCATTGATTTGTTTAATAGGCCAATTGCTGCTCTTGACAACTTAAATGATGTTTCACAGCAGATTGACCAGCCATCCCACTTCACCAGGCCTCTCTTCACAGCAGGCAAACCTGACAGCAACACGGATAATTTTTTCCCCATCATCCCAGGATCATATCCACTATATTTGAGGAGAGAAACTGGAAAGAAGAGGAAATGCAATGATAATGCTGCTCCTCAAGTTCACCCATCCCCTGTCAAAAGCTCAAAGAAACATTCTTGTCAGGGCCCATCCTCTCATCTTTCAGCATCTAACTTTATGCCTGACAAGTTGATGCAGATTGATTTTAGTCAGAACACAAAAGAGAAATTTGAAGGAAGGAATCTTGAAAATATACTCGCAGAAGCTATCATGGCACCAACGGGGAAGCCTGATCCACAAAAGCAAGGAATGAATTCTGCATCTGCAGATTTTACTTTTGCAATTGATAATCCAGTGGACAGCCAGGTTGATGACAAGAATGACTCATGCAAACCTGTTTTGACTGGTGTTGAGATGGGATTGATATTCTTGAAAGCAATTGAGAAATGCCAGAAGCAATTTAAGCTTGAAGACTGCCTCATCATGGACAAGATCATCACAACCTCTCTAAATGCCAGAAATCTTTTTCTCACCATGTTGAGAAACTCAGATATCTCCTATCTTCCATCAGCTTCTCAAAGACCTTTGGTTTTGGAGCTTCTTTCCCAGAACCTGCTTACCCTTGGTGAGCAGGAAGATTTCCACCTCAGCTCTTTCAAGTTTTAAGTTTTTTATATATATATTTTGCTTTTTGGCCTTCAGTTATAGTTTTTTCGCTCTTTCTCCTTTTCTAGGTCCAAAAGGGAGGGATATCCAGTTGCAGAAACAGCATCAGTTGGAGTAAGTTCTGCATTTTAGCGCATCTTCCTATCTGTAGTATTTTATGCATGCTTTGTCAAAATGGCAAGTTAACAAAGATGTAATTTTTTAAGTTTCACACTGAGATCAAATTAAAAAAAAAAATTCTATTTTTGTTTCTTATTAGGTCCACCCTCACAGATACATCCAATCTGGTGCATATCAACTCAGCTGTGATGGCGTCCCTTTATCAGATATTACTGCGTTTCAAGAAGGCGACCTCTTGAACATGTGGCATTTTTTTCTCATAAATTATTTATATAATCAGTATGAAGCCTTCATGGCTTTCTTTGATCGTAAATTATGTATCTTAGATTCCATTTTTGATTTATGGTTTGTGATATGTAGTCCAGATAACTGTGATGACAGGAGATGCTGCCTTTTCGGAACACGAGATCTTGCTCGAACAGCATTGTGCTTCAAGAAAGAAATATCTTCCACATCCCTTGGGTCTTTTTAATGCCAGTCCTGGATATAAAGAGCATTTAATTTATTTTTGAACTGAAGCATTTCATTTCATGCATATTGCAATTGAAGTCATGATCGGGGGTAAACAATCCTGCCCTTTTTTTTGGAGGTGAATCAAATTTCCTAGATGAATTTTTCTGTTTTCGCGAACCGATTGCTCCAAGGTCACTCCCTCCCAAGCCCTTTTTGTCATAGTATAAGCGGCCCGAACGATCCCTTGGATCCAAATTTGAGACTCAGGCCCGCCTGACAAATACTGTGAGAACCGTCGGACGTTTTATCAAGTTCTCTTTCAATGAAAAATATTTATTGTGAATAGTTTAAAAATTCTTTATTTTCTCAAATGCTTCACAATTTACTATTACAATTATTTTATAATTCACAAAATAATCTGGCAAAAGCAAATATTTCAGTTACGTGATTCAAGTGCCCTTGTGCTTGTTTCTTCGAAGACTACTTTGAAGCTACTGGAAACTGCTGGAAAAATTGGTGGAAACCTACACCCGGAAAGACCAGAACGAGATTAGACCGCTATCAGTATGCCTATAAGAAAGGGTCATCAACATCTTGGGCGATTCTAAGCTTGATCGACTTCGCTCTACGCTCAGTTGACAAAACCTAAAGCGATAGTTTGCATGATGACTTCCGACTTCGCCTCAACGTTCGACACGCTGAACCAAGATCTAATTATCCAATAAATTTGTAGACAGGGCGTTAAACAGCAGAACCTCCAATGAATAGAAAACGTCCTTCAAGATTGGAAGAACACAAGTACGGGAAAGAACATCGTCAGGTCTACATCACGACAGGCGTTTCGCAAGGGTCCATCATTGGACCCCTCGCATTCACATGCTGCACAGATGCACTAAGAAGCACGAGTGACTGTTCCAAAATACGCTGATGATACGGCAGTTGCCTCCATCTCGAATCTCAATGACCTAGCAAGATATAAGGAAATTGTCCATGCCGTTGGCACTTTTGCAAAGCAACGAGGACTCCTGCAGAATGCTGCCAAAACACAAGACTTATCATCTACTTTCGAAGATCATTTCCCAAACAGGACAACTTCACCCGTCTTATGGAAATTGATGCAACGCAGTGCCAGCATTTCATACCGCGAGATCCAGATCCAGGAAAACTTGAAATGGGACCTGCAAGTGCTCAAGATGGTCTCTTCTCTCAAGAAGAGTTACCATGCCCTGAAACTCCTAAAATGTGCATCAAAAACACACCTCGTCAGAGCGTACCATAACTTATTTCTTTCGTCCACGCGCCGAGTATTCCAGCTTGGTGTGGGTACCGGGCCCCCCGAAATCTCACACAAATCAGCTGGAGAAGGTTCATCGCGCGGGTAGAAATTGCAGAAATGTATTCTTCTATTTGACTCCCTCACTTGCTTACACCTCTCTCCCTTGAAAATTTCCTGACCATTGTTTTTTATTCCCTTGATTTTTATATTATTTTCCTTGCTTTTATTTTTTTACTTTTGGGGCACTGGACATACCATAATTCCGCAGAGGAGAATAAAAACCAATACTATTATTATTAAGATTATTAATATTATTATTAATATTAGGCCAGGGGTGACTTAACTTTTGGATGATGGAGGCTGCGCAGCCCATGTGTCGTGGGCCTGGCGGCTGGCTTAATTGAAAACTTGTACTGTAGTATGCCCTGGCCACGAAACCTTTGCCCCCCTCCAGTAGAATAGTGAAAAGGGTGAACATAGAAGGCTTCATTCACTTAACCCTTTCAGGGCTGAGTTACGAAAAAATACGCATATCGAAATCATAGGATAGTTATGGTTCATACAATGAGATACTAAAAGAATTTCACAGATGCATTTATTAATTTCAAAATACAGACATGATGACATATGGCATCATCCGCTTAATCAAGATTTAATGTAAAGTATATGGTCTAAAAGTTGCTACAAAGAAACTCTATCAATCAATATTTACTCAGAAATTTTCCCAACCGATCATATTTTAAAAAACAAACCAAACAATGAATCACAAAATACTTACCTCAAACAGTTCTTTATTTGTTGTCACCATCACTTTCACAGATATTCAAAATTGTTTTTAAAACAATTGGTTTTGGCATCATACGCTTGGGAAAGGTTAATATGCAGCCAAAGTCTCAATTTCTGGCAGCCTATATTCGCGACTGTTTTTCCTTTCGTCTTATCTTTCTTTCCTTCCCCAAATTTCCTCGCGGGCCACGAAGAAGCACTCCTTGGGTCGAACTTTTCGCCCTCCAGAAGACTATACAGGTGACTCTCGTTATACGCGCTTTCGTTATCCGCGTTTTCGCATATCCGCGGTTTCATTTCGGTGCATGGAGACTATCACTATCCCTATCTGCCAGTGCCATGGAAGTTTTACGCGTTTTCGATATACGCGGCGATTCTCGGGAACGCAACCCCCGCGTATAACAAGAGTCATCTGTACACTGTAAAAAAAAAAATTTCCAACAGGAACATCTGAAAGCACATCAAAGTACGTACACGGACGCTCTTTTTGCGTTCGTGATGAGTTCAGCATTCTCTGAAATGCTGTCAAACGTTCCTGGAAGCCAAACTTGTATACAGTGTATTCTATTTAGTGCGAGATTGTATTGTGTGATTTTTTTTCATGCAAAATGTGCGAAACAAGCTATGCGACGGCGGTTAAGAGGAGACGAGTGGTCAACATGACAAAGAAACGGCAATATGACTATTATTTCTGCTCTAGCTCCATGTGGACGAGGTCGATGAGGCAGACGAAGTTGTCAAGCGAAACCTCCAGCTTATTGGTCAAGACAACGCGGAGATGCGACCCGATTACTTTTTGTACCGCGCTTGGACGACCTCGAAGAAGAATGTAAGAGCGGCCAAGAAAAGTCCGATCGCCCACATGAGGAATACGACGGCGAAGTTCTTGAGAGACAATTTCGCCCCCTTCGGCTTCTTCCGTTTTGCTTCCAGCTCCACCATCCTCAGGTTCCACTTTTGCACGTGGGTGTTGTATTGATTATAGATATGATCAAAGAGGCCAGTCTCCTTGATTTTCATGACGAATCGGTCGAAGGGGGCCTTATACGGAGCACTCTGAGGAAAGGCCCAGCAGCCCAGATAGTAACTGTAGGACCCTCGAGAGAGGTACAGCTGATCGATGTAACCCTGGTAGTACAGGAAGATGATCAGCTGGAAGAAGTCCGAATAACCCAAGTGAACGTACTTCTCCGGATTTTGGAGAAACATGGTGACCGTATCGACATAGGTGTAGTTCTCGGGTAGAAAATCAGAACGTCGACGTAGCTCGTCGCTGACGGTCTCTGCATTTGCCGATCCAAGAGCGAACAAGATGTTCTTGTCGCTCTGGAGGAAGTCCTGGGTACTGTCGATGAGAAACGGTTGCGTCGGTGTCACCAGACTCGAAAACAGTCCTCCTCTGTAGGCGAAGCTCAGAATCAAGAAACCCATCATGACGACGATCAAAAGAGAGTTTCTTGCCGGTTTGTTCGTGTGCTGATGTCGGGAGAAATCCTGTGAAAACAGAATCCGGGAGGCAAACAACATGGAATCTCCCGGTCCTGTGTCCTGACGGAGCCCCAGGTACGTCATGAAAGCCCAGACCACCGCAGCGACCGTCAAGATCCCGAACACAGAAAGCCAAGTCAAGGCCGTGAAAGGTCGGAGGACCCCGCTCCAATTCGTCTCGTTGTATGACGGAAAGGAGGCAAACCTCAAGACATCCACTAACAACGGAAAGGAATGGTCCAGGATCTCCTCTCTTTCAGCCGTCTGGACGGATATGTCCATGGACATGTCGATGTCCTCAGCCAAGATGTGCTTCACCCTCCCCGTCCACGTTCCGTCTGCATTCTGCTTGTCTTCTTTGATGGTGTCTGTGATGATTACATTCTTGAACGTGAAATTGAGTTTCTCAGCCGCCATTTTCATATAAACTCCTTCGTATCGGTTCAAAAAGAAGGTCCCGGCCCGGATCACCTGACCATGAAAGTTGCCATCAAAGCGAAGAGGTAAGTTTTCCCCGGAATAAACGTGGATCCTGTCGTCGTTGGAGTATATCTTGCTTGTCTTCCATGTCAGACGACCTTTAGAATTCATCCCGTTGAAGACATATGCCCTCACCCAAGTTTTCAGCTTGCTTAGGATCTGTGAAACTTTCTTGTTCGATGGCTTTGAGTCAGGCACGATGAGAGCGATGGCATTGGAACGATAAGAAGGTAATTTGATCCAAAAACTCTTATTTAAGGTTTCATGTAAGTATTCCCACGATCCGACCAATAGGAACGACTGAATCTGGGAAATGGATGATTTCCAGCCTGCCGACAAGTCATCCGTCACCATCACCCCTTTCTCTTGGATCAAACTCGGTTCCAGTATCTGGTCTTGAAGGTCACGTTGGACGAGGAAAACCAGCCGGTCGTATTTGCTCACGAATTGCAAAATTTGTGAAAAGTTGGATTGATTTGCAGAGCGCTGATTTTCCATCCACCACATCGCAAGAGCAGGTGTCCACGAAAGAGTGGCGAGACACACCACGAACACGAACACCTTTGGATCCATGACTGCCTATGATGCATTCCGAACCCTGGCAAGCCTTTTTAATCCTCGCAGAAGTCTTGCAAGCTGCAGGGAGTCGTTTATCGCGATTCCCATCCGTCACACGGAGTGTCAGGGCGGAATTGCTTTCTCATTCCTTATTCTCCCTCGAACGAGGCCTAATCTTCCTGATTTCTCTCGCTCGCTTCCATGCCATCCATCTCACTT